AGTTGTATCTTTGATTTACATGATATTTCCTATCATCTCATGGAATAGTTTATAAGGTTTATATGGTTTTGGTATCAGGGTGAAATTTAAAGTTAATGCAAAATTATAGAAGGACGATGGAGCAGATTGTTATCCAGATTACAGATCATTGACAAAGAAGGCATATAGTTAAAAATCATAAGAGAAACGGATTATATCACCAAACCTCGTGCTATACGATAACTTTTCCACTCTCGACAGATAAATTTTAAATATTTAAACCGCTCGGCGAGTGTCGCGTTTTGGATTTGAAAATTTATCTGTCTTGAGCGGAGAAATATCGTATTACTCTCGTTACAGTGGTAAAATCTATATATATTCTATTTCTGCATCTATGGTCTTTAAATTATAAATGTTTTGCTTTGTCAGTTTATTTTTCAAACGGTTTATTGCTTGAGGGTAACATTAAAAAAAATACGTCCCAATGAGCCGCGGTTATAATGTTACCGTCGTCTTAATTAACCAATACAAAAATTGGAATTTCAAAAAGAAGTATTAAAAATTTCTTATTTCAAAGCCCATAACACTTACATTTAAGGTACAAAATAAAGTTACAACGACGATCGTCTGCTTAATGGCTTAGAACGGGTACAATTTCAAATTCCATCGACTTACGAGCTCTACAACCTCATTTATTCAAAGGTTTTGTATCAACAAACTATTAAACCAAATGCAGAATACTAGGTTCCAAATCATAAAGTTACTTAAAGAGATAAATAACTAGAGGCCCCAAGGAGCCTGTATTGCTCACCTGGCATTTTTATATAAAATTGATACAATTCAGCATGAATATTTATGATGCACTGAAACTATATGGACAAAGCTCTTGTCTTACTGGTCATTTTTACTGGACAGATTTTTCAAAAGCATAGGCAAACTGGACTAGAATTATGATATATGGTCCGCAACTCCTGTAAGGAGTAAATTGACTTTTTTATCATATTAACTTATTTGCAAAAGAATAAAAGAAATTGTCAGTATATACATAGATCTGGAGTTGCCGATCATTTTTGATGTTCGAAGTTTAAGTCGATGTGTTATGATATTCAAGATACATGTATTAGTTAAAAACACTAATATTGGTCATTTATCATAAGGGCATTATCTTCTATACATCTTGCTGTTCGGTGTGAGCCAATGCTCCGTGTTGAAGGCCGTACCTTGACCTATAATGATTTGCTTTTATAAATTGTTACTTGGATGGAGAGTTGTCTCATTGGCACTCATATCTGTATAATCACATCTTCCTATATCTATCTACGTAATTTGGTCTCTGATGGATAGTTGTCTCATTGACAATCATACTGAATCTTCTTTATTTCAAACTGTTGATCATTTTTACTTTTGACAGTTTGTCTGCATCGATCTGTATCAATTTTTGCTCTCAAAACTCGAAAATGGGTAAAAGTTGCCATTAAAGGCCAATAACTCATAAGGAGCCAAATAACAATTTGAAACATGTTGACTTATTTGAAGATCTTTCCTTACTTATTTTTTTGAGGTTTATACTTTCTATCTACCAATTATAGTTTTCAAGATTAAAGGTTTCAAAAAATTTGGTGAAAATCTTAATTAAAGGACATCAACTCTTATATAATGGGTCGATTGCTGATTTCGGTCAACTGGTATTATTTGTGAATCCCATTTTCAAAACATTTTTATGTTTACAGTTTTTGCTATATTTACTTATATAATAGTTTCCATCAAAAACGAAAAGTTGAGTAAAAATCGTGTTACTAATTTATAACGTGTTTCATTTTTTACAGCACTGGGTCGATACCTCTGCTGATGGACTATCAGTCCCCGAGGGTATCATCAGCTCAGTAGTAAGTACTTCGGTACTGACATGATTAATAACTAACCTTTCTAAATTTGCCCGTATATAATTTTGAAATTGTAAAGAAACTAAGGTTTAAACTCCCTCAGGCAAAGTTGGCCTTAGAAGGATTTGGCTATTATTTTAGGTCATTTTTGATTATATATAGCTCTTCAACTGTTTCGGTTTTATACGGCCTTGTCTTTCAAATATTCGGCTTTGAGCGTTCCTGATGAAGGTAAATCCAGAAAAGCGTTCGGAAGCATTAAATTTATAACGTGTTGTTTTCATTTTTTTTTAGTAAAAAGGCGACAACTCCAATAAGGCGTCGACAAACGATTTCGACCATGTGGACTTAATTGTAGATCTGCTCATGCTGATAATGATTTTACTTTTTCAAGTTTCTCTCTGTATATAATAGTTTTCACGATAAAAGCAAAAAACATACGGAATAATAAAGTTCTATAGTGGAATCATCTATTGATTTTTCACATGTTGTAGATCTTGTCTAGGTGATCATTTGTGCTTTTTTTCAAACTCAAAAATTGGTAAAAATGTTCATTTAACGGGCATGTACTCCTTTCAGGAGTCGTTTGGCGTTTTGGGCTATTTATGACGTCTTATATGTCTAAGTTTGCCGAAAATGTTTGGAGGAGACTTCTGATCAGTGATTTTGGCTTAAAAAAAAAGGATAGTAGGTAGACCTTGGTTTTCTGATTATTTTTGCTTTGTAGATTTTCTCTATCTATTTCTGTAACAGATTGGAAAAAATATTAAATAATGCTTGATTTATATCCCTATTTTTTTTTAGTTTTTAACCATAGCGGCATGTATCTTTTTGGTCGGCGGGATCATCTGACATAATTTTTGAAATTAAACATTCTTAAGATGTTTGTGGCCAATTTATATTGCATTTGGCACCGTACTTCAGAGGAGAAATTTTTGTCAAAGTTAACGACGACGACCGACGATCTACTACAAATGATGAAAAATAGCTCACACTGGCCCTTTGGGTCAGGTGATCTCAAATTGAAAGGTTAGTAGATCAAAGCATTGATTACAGTTACTGACTGAGAGCTTAGGAACTTTTTCTGATTGTCAAAAGACATTATCAATTTCTGTTATCAAGATATATTCAGACTGTATTGTTGTCCATGTTGATATCAATTCGTCATGCAATCCAAAACTGTTATGATCTTTGTGGCCGACAAATAATGTAAGATATAAAATCGATTAAAGTAAAATGAAACATATGAAAGAACAAATAAAGGGAATATTCCAATAAGTTAAGCTACCAGAATGTTAATGTTATTAGAATAAAAATCATTGATCAGTGAATTCGACATTGAAGTCTTGACACATAGTGACTTGGATGGATAGTTGTCTCATTGGCTCTAGCTCATACCACATCTTCTTATATATATTGACGTTGTCATATCACAGACACTATCAAAGCAAATCATTTGGGAAATGCATATGTCTTGACTATGTATGCAGGTGCAGACATTTTGGCATAAAAAAAGAGAATGAATCATTGGATATGAAAAGTAATCTTTCTTGTCACTTATTGAAATTTCAGGTCAAGCAAAATAATTCGCCGCTTTATTTCGTTTTTTTTTTAAAGTGTTCGTTGGTTGCGAGAATATCAGCAGGATGTTCATTTTATCTCTCACAGTACTCGTTTCAGTGTTTCTTCATAGAAACCAATGTGCTCATTGTTTTGTTTCTTCGTAAAATAGCTGTGCGCATCAATTTCTTTCTTCTTGTACAAATAGCTGTGCGCATCAATTTCTTTCTTCTTGTACAATTATCTGTGCGCATCACTTTCTTTTTGTACAAATAGCTGTGCGCATCACTTTCTTTTTGTACAAATAGATGCGTGCATCACTTTCTTTCTTCTCGTACAAAAATATGTGTGCGTCACTTTTTCTTCTTGTACAAATAGATGTGTGCATCACTTTCTTTCTTCTAGTATAAATAGCTGTGTGCATCACTTTCACTCTTCTTGTACAAATAGCTGTGCGCATCCCTTTTCTTGTGCAAAAAGCTGTGCGCATCCCTTTCTTCTTGTACAAATAGCTGTGGGCATCCCTTTCTTTTTTTACAAATAGCTGTGCCCATCACTTTCTTTCTTCTTGTACAAATAGCTGTGAGAATCACTTTCTTTCTTCTTGTACAAATAGCTGTGTGCCTCACTTTCTTTCTTCTTGTACAATTAGCTGTGCACATAACTTTCTTCTAGTACAAATAGCTGTGCGCATCACTTCTTTCTTCTTGTACAATTAGTTGTACACATAACTTTCTTCGTGTACAAATAGCTGTGCGCATCACTTTCTTCTTGTACAAATAGCTGTGTGCATCACTTTCTTTTTTCTTGTATAAATAGCTGTGAGCATCACTGTCTTTCTTCTTGTGAAAGTAGCTGTGCACATAACTTTCTTTTTGTACAAAAAGATGTGTGCACCACTTTCACTCTTCTTGTACAAATAGCTGTGCGCATCACTTTCTTTTTGTACAAATGGCTGTGTGCATCAATTTCTTTCTTCTTGTACAAAAAGATGTGTGCATCACTTTCTTTCTTCTTGAACAAATAGTTTTGTGCATCACTTTCTTTCTTCTTGTACAAATAGCTGTGCGCATCACTTTCTTTCTTCTTGTACGAATAGCTGTGAGCATCACTTTCTTTCTTCTTGTACAAATAGCTGTGAGAATCACTTTCTTTCTTCTTGTACGAATAGCTGTGAGCATCACTTTCTTTCTTCTTGTACAAATTGCTGTGAGCATCACTTTCTTTCTTCTTGTACAAATAGCTGTGTACATCTTTCTTTTTGTACAAATGGATGTGCGCATCACTTTCTTTCTTCTTGTAAAAATAGATGTGCGCACCACTTTCTTTCTTCTTCAAATCTCTGTACGCGTTTAATATGGATTACATCAAATTTAATGAGTACATAATGGATCTTATTCAAATCAATGATTTAATATAAAAAAGAGTCTTATTCAATTCAAAAATTACATAATTGATCTTATTTCATTGTTCAATGATTATATAATGCATTTTATTTCATTCAATGATTTATCATTATGTAATGCATTTCATCTAATTCAATGGGATTTATTGAAACACAAGTTATGTCAGGACAGCGATACTTCCTAGTTGAGGGGAGCCTTTAGTTTCTCGCAGTGGTTTAATTGCGACTGGTCATTTCATTACCATGAGGGGATTATTAATTTATACATTCCATCGTATACCAGCATTCGTGATTTTTTTTGGCAAATTGAGGAGTTCGGATGCGATTTGTAATCAAAGTCAAATCCCATCATAATTGATAGACAAATATAAGTTTAATTTAATCATTAATGTAAAAGAAATAAATCATATGACCTATAACAAGTTGAAAAGAGAAGTGATAGTTGTGTAGATACTTTGATAACACGGAAATTTGTGGTAAATTATAATTTATGTATTAAGTAGTCATTCAAACTAAGTGTGGAGACTTTTTCATCAAAAGCTTTTTACAGATGTTTGTATGAAAGGGAATATAAACAGAAAACTTTCGACGTGATGGAAAATCAATTTCAGTCAACATAACATCATATGGTTATCACTTGATCGTCAAAATTGATAGGCAAATAACATAACGATAAAAAGTTAATTTGTAACGGAGTTATTTTTGTTGGATTTACTCAAGCAAGGTACGTTGAAATACTTTTACTAAAACAACCATTATACGCCTTTTTTATCTGAGTTTTAATAGTAACGAAAAAATGATGACCAACGTGTGTTCTTGTGGGGTACATGGAATATAGAAAATGGGTTTTATAGTTGAAAAATTGGAGCAACCTGATAGGTACAGTAGGATCTCAAATTTTCTATTATTTTTCGTTTGTAATTGTTAATCCATTAAAATGCTACGAATATTTATTTCAAATTGCTACAGTGTATACGCTCTGTTTAAGACGGAAAACGTTTTAAATCTTTTTCGATTATTTCACGACAGTTTTAATTTTTATGTGTCAAGAGGATGTAGCATTTTTTTTTATTGAAATTAAAATAACATTGATAGATTCTTAATGATAAAAAAAACTATCTAAGTAAACAAAGATCATTCTTTAAAACTTCACTGAATAATAGCTTATGTCTGGGAAAAGGGATGTCCTTTAGTAGAGCCGGATAAGGTTTTACTGTCAATGGCTGTCGCGATCTTTTAGTTACAAATATAACGACAGCAATTGAAAAAAAACTCATCTGACTCTACTAAACGACCCCATTTGGTCTGTATCCTAGAAAAAAAGTATGACGTATTTTTTGGTAACTTACAAATAAGAACCAGGGGAGGGGTATCGTTATGATGAAAACCTTTCCCAGTTCCCATACTATAAGATCTAAGGTCAAAAAGAACCCAAATAATTTCAGTTAATTGCACATTAATTTTCGTGGGTACCGATTTAATTTTTGTGGATATTTGATTTCGTGGTTTTGCCAAAGTCTGCATACAAGCCTATAGAAAATTTGTATTTCGTTGGATCGCCTTTAACCACGAAATCCACGAAAATTAATATCCCACGAATAATAATGAATCCACAGTAGCTCTTTGTAAGTCCACTATGAATTTACCTAATTCAAATGTGTGAGCTGACTTCAAGTTTAAATTTATGACAGAGAATGTGTATGTTTAGTTTCTACTTCTTTGTGATAACTGGCGAAATTGAAACCCCCGGAGAGAAATAAGATAAAAAATATATCCCTTGGAGTTTTCAATCTTCAGAGATTTTACTTTATTATCGTATTAAAACGATAAAACTAGCTTTCAGTAATTATGTGTACTCTTAAATCGGTTCTTTATGTGTTTTGTTATTCGTTCTTGTGCCTATAGTATCGATCTAATGATCCAACTTATAATTACAGTTTTTTTTATGTCGTGTTCTGCATCACTGTCTCAGATTTAGGGGTTTAGGGGAGTGTTTAGCTCACACAAACATGTTTAACTCCGCAACATTTTTTATTTGTGCCTATCCCTATAATCCAGTGGTTGTCGTTGGTTGCTATTTGCTATAATAATAACTGTTTTCGTTTATTGTTTTAGTATACCCAAGGCTACTGGTTTTCTCTTTTGAATTGTTTCACATTTTGCTATTTGAAGCTTTGTATAGCTTACTATACTATACTATGTTTTGCTCAATGTTGATCTATAGATGTTTACATCTGTGTCCTTTTTTCTTCCCAATGCATTATGTTTCTATTTTGTCAATCAACTGCATCTCTTTATTTTTTATGTTAGGATATTTAGTTGTGCGACATATTGTTCGTCAACAAATATCCGATATTTTTGTCATACTTTTTTGTAATGTGACAAGGTTTTCCTGTAATGCAAACGAAGAACTATATTGACAAGTTCTTCAGTGCAGTGAGAGACAGTAAATAATTCACCGGATAATGTTATCATTATAGATCATCTTTATAACGAGGAGTTTCAGTTTCCATCATGAATGCATTAAGTAATGATTTTACAATTATTAAAATTGTCAGATTATGATAACCGTTAATAACGGTTTTAAGTTATTTGAGGGCATTATAACTTTGATTTAGAGAGTTAATTTCAGAATTCATGTATGAATTAAAGCAGCTACTTATGTTTTCTTCAAAATGTAAGCTGTCGAAATTGAGATTTTTAATGAACTACTTTAACGAGTAACAATAACTCAAAGACACTGAAATACTAATTAAGGTCGCGGTGACTTTCATAAAATATTTCAAATGATTTTGCCAGATGTCGCTGTTAGGGTCCATTTCTGATTGTATTGTCCTTATCTGTAAATATAAAGGAGTCATTGTTAGTCACTGGAGTGACCAGAGATTGGCTGAACAATGTTAGTAAATAAAATTTCCAATATAATACAAACTCTCTTATTTCTCCTGTCAAGTGTTTGATAATTTTGATTAATGACAAATCGTGTTATAATAATGTTTGAATTGCCGTTAGGTTTGAAGAGGAATGGTGTACTACACAATGTTATTTTACTCTTCTGTAACATTTCTGACGTCAATCATGACAAATATTGCAGTTTATTGTCCTTTTTCATATGAAAAAAATGTGTTGGTGTGATTGTTCAATCGTTGTTATATACTGAAATGGATTATTTTGATATAATTAGAAAGTTAAGCATCAGTTTCAGTTTATGTATTCCCGCCTAACCATTTGAACATGGTAAGCACATAAAGTTTAACATAGATAATGTAAGCATATTTTGTATGAAAATATATGTATACTTTCTGAGCTTTAAAATAGCATGGAATCTTAATTTAAGATAAAACGGCATCCTCTTCATCTAATGGAACATATTATTAGGTTAAATTTGTAAACAATGTTAAACAAAGTGTTCTACTTTAATATAAGCCAGAGAAAACGACCGAGAAAACGGACGAAGTTCAGTTCAGTGTAAAAGTTCTTTCATATTCATGACTAAAAGATATGACCTTCGAATGTCTTGCAAGGCCTTGAATATCTATGTGTAATTTATATCTGTATTTATGTGTTTATATTTTTTGTTTCTTTTTATCTGTATGAAGTATGATTCATTCCATATATTCGTCTGAAAATTACAAAAAATAGATATATGACTTTCCTTTTAACGTTTTCAATTTGAACAGTTGGTCTTTATACTAAATAAATAGGCCCAAATAGTATATTCTGAATTAAAATAATCGCTAGATCAGTATTTTTATTACTCTAATGCGGCGAGAAAAAGCATTCTAGTGCATGTTTTTGTTATATTTTTTTCCTTCGTTTTTTAAATCTTGTTGATATTATTGATAAAGGTATTTAACGTTTACGTGATCTGTCAGTCATTTTCGTTAAACCTAAAACATGAAATCGAATTTATTTTTACATTTTGAATTTTAGGTCCAGTCATCAAAGACGATTTGAAAGATGGCGCTAAATTTGACAACAATTAACATGACAGATCGAACAGACTTAGGAACCTTATGTGCAAACTGTACCACCTCTAAGGATCTGTCTATTCTCACCCCTACCCTTATGATGACAACAGGAATTGTGGGAAATATACTAGCACTTGTTGTCTTATACACGTCATCTAATGAAGCTAAGAAGACAGTGTTTTATACTCTTTTGGCAGGACTAGCATGTACTGATTTGCTTGGCATATGTTTAACTAGTCCGATAGCAATCTTAGTATATGCTAATAATTTAAAATGGGTAGGAGGCAAGCCATTATGCTTCTACCATGCTTTTGTGATGATATTTTTCGGAGTTGTGACACCATTGTTAGTTTGTACCATGTCCTTAGAACGTGTACTGGCTTTGCGATTCACATATTTCTACAAAAGAACAGTGACAAAGAAGAAAGCTGCATTCGTGGTTGGTGGACTGTGGTTGTTTGTTATTTGTTTTTGTTCGTTGCCATTGTTAGGCTTCGGGAGTTACGAGAAACAATTTCCAGGATCTTGGTGTTTTCTGAATTACCACAGGGAGAGTAATACCGATATTGGATATGCTTACACTTTTGCAATTTTTAATATTCTTGTGATTATTGTAAACCTGTGTTGTAATATTGTTGTGGTAGTGACTCTGCTTCAAATGAGACAAAAAAGACTAGTACAAAATTCGCCATCCATTGACAGACGACACGGAGCCAGACGATCTAAAACTTCCATTAAAAGAGAGATAGAAAGAAGCTTGGTGATCTTCCTGTGTGCTATAACACTCGTGTTTACTGTCTGTTGGCTTCCTATTAATGTAAGTATACACACTTGTATGCACGATAAAACAGTGGCGTAGGTGTAGACTGAAAAGGGGGCAAACTTCTGAAAGTGTGAAAGAAGCAAGCAAAAAAGAAAAAAAAACTTTTAATGACTGATATATTTAGAGTTAGTCAGTGTCCTCTGTCATATTTTTTTCATTTGCAAAAAAAATGTTGTAAAAAAATGGGAGGGGGGTTAAAATTGCCCCAGGCCTCTACTCCAGTGTGAAAGGATTGATAGATTGATTGTTGGTGTTTAACGCCACTTTCAGTACACATAACTATATCATGGCACCTATTCGTTTGGTTTTTTTTTGGTGGAGGATGCTGGAATACCTCGACCTTCGACAGGAAAACAAGCAGTCAAATAAGATCGGAGTCAAACTACCTTGACACGAGTGGGGTTCTAACTCTCAACCTATGTGTTGACAGCATAGTCAAAGTCAAAGATTTTATAGATATAAGATCCAAATCTGGATTGACAACATGATAAAAGGAAATTTGATTTGACGCCAATACAGTAGAAGTTGATCGAAAGAGACGTCTCTCTAGAGATCTGCATTATATTTTTTATAGACAAGCGTCCACAGCTCATGAAAGTGTTACGGCTACTTTTACATTTTGTATGTTTGCTTCTCTTGGTTGAACTGTGCATATCCTTACGATCAACTGTGTATATACATATTCTTAGCTGTATTTTGGGCTTATCTGGTGAGCCAGTGTTGCAATTATACCTGAAATTCAATAATTAGTAAAACTGAGATGTTCCCAGTGAAGTACCAGCCGGATATATACCCACCATCAGAAATAAACGGTTCAAATCATAATATTTTTTTGTGAAGATTATAAAAAGCAAATTTAAGACAGAGCTTTAAATTGTTTTTTGCATTGATTAAATTAAGTAACCCATGTCAATTCCATATATTTTTGGAAACGGAGGTGTAGGTTTACGTATGGTTAAATTCTGCAGCATGGGTTGTCTTTTTTAGATTATAAGTACTCATTAGTGTGGTGTTTCACATTTACGAAATTACATCACTAGAGAAAACTTATCAGTGCTGGAAAATATATTTGGGTGTCACTTTAGTCATTTTCATAAGAATGCATTTGGTTTCAATTTAGAAGTATAAATGCGCATTCCTGACATAATTTCTATGATAACCACCACTCCAAAATCCAGCTTGTACCAAGGATTTTTTAATTTTCAGTTTAATTTCACCTTTATTTGAGAAATACGAATCGATTTAACATTTATCGTATGATAACCAATCTCGAATTCATACGCAACACGAGAATCAATTAATATTAATGAAATTAATCGAATTTGATGTCCAGATATTCATTACATTTTTTTCTGAGCTGACGGTGCGAAACCATAAAATTTGATACTATAGGAAACATTTTGTAAACCATAGTCAATAAACAAAATTAAATACCTGTGTAACACAAAACTTACAAGTACACTGATAAATAATAAACATCGTATTCCAAATAAAAAAGAGATGTAGTTGATAAAAGAGATGTTATGCCGATAGGTATACAAAAAAACAACATAACAGTTATTTTCAACTAATTAAACAAATAGTGTTTGTTAAGGGTGATATTATTGAATGCTACTTAAAAGTTGTCGGGTTGATCTAGTTACTCATACATGCATGTATTAAACTCGAAGGACATTTGAATAGCAATTAGCGCAAAATATACAGGTGCGAGCTCAAGATTTTGCAATTAATAATTACCCAATAAAAAAGGTGGTTTTTATAACGACAAAAGTAAGAAAACAAATATGATATATTTGTATTTTTTGTATTTATAATGTACTCAATGTACTTGCTTCATCGTCATCGTCATCGTCAGAGTCGTCAACTGAATTCCCACATTTTCAATTCATTGATTGATTATTGCTTGTTTTGTGTCCAGTGACAAATATGTCATGCATATTCGAAACGAGATCAAATTAACAAATCTACAATAAGTAGGTTCTGACAGGTAGGACGATCGGGATGTGGGATGGAAAATTTGGACTGCCACTGGAAAAATTAGGGTTCGTTGATTAGAGATTGATATTCTGCCTGAGAGTTTCTGCAAGGGTTCTTTATAAACGTTCAAGAGAGTTTGACACTCAACCGATACGAGAAATCATATGTCTAACGTTCTCATCTGATCGGACATAGTTGGAAAAAAAAAGGAAAAATAACTTTGTATCAAAGAATGATATAGTTTACATAAAGCAAACAAATTCCTCTATGTGCATATGTCGCCTAAATATCTGCATGTATTCTAAAAATTACCTTCGAGTGGTGTTTTGTTAGGTCATCATCGGAGTGCAAGTCACTTGGTGGCATACGTTATCTCCCTAACGATCATATATATTTTTAAACAAAAAAATAAATGGCTTTTCGGCATTTATCCTTGAGTGTTTACAAAAAAACTAAATTATTATTTTTGTTTTTGTTGCTATGTTAATCATAAAATCAATACTTGACTTTTAGACATGAAGTACGCACTCAAAAAGTTCAGATATAACATTTTTCTACCTTGAGCTGAATGCAAAACAGATCCAATCTGATTTAAATGTCTTACTTGAATTTCATCCTATGTTGTATGGACTTCAGCTAGGCTGGTAAGAACGGATAATTCCAAAATGACTATACTTATTCAAACAGGAATCTCATTGCAATTCACATATAATAACAATAATCACAATAAATAACAGATCTTACGTCCAATCTGATTTGATAATAGATCCTATATCATAACTTTGCTTACAAATGGAAGTTCAACAACTGGAAAAAATATATAACTCCAACTTAAATGAAAGACCAGTTATAAGTTAGAAAAAAATGCATGGTTAGTCAATCATAAGATTATGTGGTATAGTCGTATACAGAGTAGAAAAATCATAACTGTCAAAGAAGAGAAACTGATCCTCTGAGAAACGAAGCTCATTCAAGACCTCCATGTCATTTTTAATACTCAAGAAACAGCTAATAGGACTATTTACATAATATGAACAGTTGTAAGAACCTTACACGTAGAACAACAATATTTGTAGTTGAAAAGGAGTAGGCGGTAAGATCCATTTTTGGCCCCAAAATCTTGCGTTTTAAAAATTTGTTAAAAATGTTAACTTTTAGCTATTTATTGGAAAGTAAAATAATTTTGTTACATAAACATGGGCTGTTTCTGACAATACAATGCACATGCATCAGGAACTTCATGCAAAATTACTGAAATCTTCACAATTTTATCAATTGTGCTAATTTTTAAACGGTTTTTGTCTAAAATGGAAGTGGCCGCACTTGTGTTCAGTCTTGATATTTAAATATATGTTGTATTTGATGATAATACATAACATATATAAAGGTTGAGACTGAACACGAATGCGGCCATTTTAGACAAAAAAAACCTGAAAAGTGATGTTTTGGGCATATTTGATATATTAATGACCAAACCAATTCAAATCTTTAACATAAACTAATTGAATCGACTGAAGTAGACACTTAAGTGTTTAAAAAAATGTTAAAAATCTTTCATCAGATGTACTTCAAATTTTAGGCCAAAATTAGCCCATACCGGACCTTCTCCTTAAACAGGATGCTGACCTCTCTGTGATGTTAGGTGTAACATAGAATAAGTACACCAATATCCAAGTACAGATGCAAAGTTTTTAACAATGCGATTACTTAATATGTACAGTAAAATGTGATAAAATTTAGTCCCAGAATAGGATATTGAAATTTGTGATATGGAAAAAAAAAGCGAAAAGCTAAAATATGCGATGAATTTATAATAGCTTGGAATCCTTTGAAAAGGGGACTATAACAGCAATTTAATAACATGGAACTTAGCAATTTGTATACAATGAATGTATTCATTTTGTAAAAAAAAACAAACTAGATATATTTGTCATTAGATATATTACTGTAATATGTTCTTATTTTGAAAAAGAGTCATGCTATTTGACAATATTCCCATCCGAGAGAGTAAAAAGATGAGAAACCGTCAATGTCAATTGTCTAATTTGCAGTAATGGTTTAAGATTTTGAAAAATCATTTCAAAGTATCTTATTATATATATATAAAATGCATCACCGCGTGGGTTGAGCAATATTTCGTTTCCGTTACTGATATATATATATATAGAGTTTGTATTTTACCTCAAGCTTCCTGTATTCTTTTCCTGAATAAAAAAAATATCGATCACTTTTTATTAATTGTATATTTTTTTTAATTTTCAGATCAACGTTTTAGTAAACCAGATAGTCCCGCGAAGAAATAACGCCATTGACTTGCTTGGTGTGCTGATGGCAGGTATAAATCAGATTTTGGATCCTTGGTTATATATTCTGCTCCGACATTCAAGTTTAATAAAAATTTCAAAACATATAAAACGATTTCTGTGCAAAGAAAATATCAAGGAACAAATTCCACCATACGTTATTAGCAAGAAAAATGACTGTAATACGTCACAATTTGATGCCTCTTTAGAAATCCGAGTCGTTTGTGATCATCCTGTCAATGACAATGTTAGTGAAAGCGATGACAGTATGACAAGTACATCAAAATTAATTCAGGATAATCTTGAACCTCATCCACCGTTTTTGAGATCATTATCCGTAGGTAATGAAACTCCTGAAGAAACTCATAATGAACAACATTCCAACGTTAAAGAAGTAAGTGATCGTAATATGAATGGCATCATTCAATCAGATATATGTCAAAATGGAAAGAATATTCAGTTGAGGAGGATGAAGCGATTAAACAGTTCCCCAGCCGTCTTCTCTCAGACGTTTTTATGAATCAGTCTTGTAGGCAGCACTTGACAATCTACTTCTCATATGAATCAATCAAAATAAAATTATGTTATGTTTTCATTACAAGTCTTTTCGTAAGCTCTATTTTATGTTTGAAATTTTATGTGTTTGGTAAAAATGGTAATACATGTAGAAAACGGTCTGTAGGAACACCTCCTGGTCACCTAGCTGGAAGTTGTGGTGTTATTTTTTGCCATGAATTTAAATGTTATATACAGTTAACATCTGGTCCATAAGTATACATATTTAAAAGAGGATGTGGAGTATTCTTCAATTAGACAACAACCCAGCGACATAAATTCCTCTTTCACTTGCCAACATTGATTTAATGGTTAATTCATATACATAAATAATAAAACCAAAATTTCTTTCATTATTTGTAAAAGTAATACCAAGTAAATTTAGATCTTGCGAACAGTTTTTTTTTAATTTCTATTTTTCAGTCCATAAAGCTTAAAAGGAGCGGATTGCGAAAAATTATGCCGGGTATATACTTTATTTTCATTGTATTTCTTTTCTAAAGCCAAAAAAAAAAACATGTGTGCGGAAAGGAAATTGGTCTGCGAGAGACTGCATGCAGTTAAATTACCTTTTAACGTTATTAAAAACTTAATCTGTCGAAACTGAAGCGAGCCAGCGAGTCCAAAGACCCAACAGTTGATTTGTGGTGAAAAAATCGCAGTACTGCATAAACTGGAGTGACCAACAAGCAACAGCCTTCATAACAACATAAACCCTACATAAACCGACATCCTGCATACACAAACAACATACTGAAACCGAGAGTCTACAAAAAAAACTTAACCTGAACTTTACAGAAACCGACAACCTGCATGCAAAAACCAACATACAACCAAATGAAACCAACAGTCTGCACAAAACATCCAACACGAACCCTTCAGAACCCGACATCCTTCATACAAAATCAACATTGAACCTTATCGAGACCGAGAGCTTGGACAAAAACCCCAAAAAAATTAACCTAGCTGAAACCGACTGAAGGCGTAAGACAAAACACGGCCTCTTCTGATTAAAAACCGTCAACCTGCATATAGAAAATGACATGAACCCTACTGCGACCGAACGCTTGCACGAAAAACCAACATCAACCAAACTGAAATCGGCAACCTGCTCAAACTCAATGATGAATCCCATGAATTTCCCAGTATCACTAATTTGCAAATATCCCCACATGTTAGATCGTCATTAAGTATTTCGTGAAGCCAAGGACGTATTTTATAAATACTTGGTGAAGCAAACGTATAATAAATGGAGCAAATTCAACACGCATGTCATGATGGCTACGATACAGGGTCATTATCAAGTCAGTTGTGTTTTAAGGTGGTTGATTTACTGCAATACTTCTCTACCTAAATAATGGGATCAAAGGATTTTCTGTTTGTAATATACGGCTTTTAATAAAAGTAGTATATTGGAAACGGATTAGGGTAGCTTAAAGCGGAAATTTATCTTTTGATAAATGCAACTTCTGATTAAAAAAAATCTAGATAACCATGTGAATTCCCAACAGACAGGATAGGAGCCAGGAAGGATCACTGTCACATTCAAAATCATTCCTTTATTAATATGATAAAACCACTTTTACTTGAAGTATATGTCCGTATAAACAGATTTGATTCATGATTTACACTAACTGTCAATCAATTACGTATAAAGTGCAAGTAACTGGGTGGGGAACTAATATACACAACAAAATAGTGGGTGGAATCGAATTATAAATATGTTAAATGTTTTCATTTTAGTTCTATTTATAATTTTATCTTTTATGTTTTAAATCGTTTAACTAGTCATTTATAGTTTATTTCATTTTTCTTCCCACTTAAAAAAAAAATATCACATAATCATGTTCATCATCGTTGGTGTTGTTCGTTTCTGGTTAAGTTTCGACGAATGCATGTTAATCAATAAAGTGTTTATTTTCTGTCTTCTTACTGAAATAGTAAGTCCTACACAATGCATCATTGGCATGATGATCTTATGTGTTGTACATGTATAGTATGTTACGACGATTTGATTTCACAAAAAATATATAACCTAGCTTTTTTATACATGTATATAGTGTAAAGAATCACAAGAGATCTTGCCGGTTATGTACATTTGTATCAAGCAAAAGTCTAAATGTATACAGTGACTCCCTCCCTTCCCTTTAAGACTCGACATCAAACATATGGAATACAATTGAGTAAAAATTTTAAGTAGGGTAAACGTCAATATGACATCAACCCAAACGACATAAAACAAAAGTCATTTAGAGGTCAACAATATAGTCTACAATATGTCATGCTCGAAATCGCCCCCTAGTATAAAAAATTGTGAATAAATTTAAAGGGGCATTAGCTACGAGATATAAAAAAAAAAAAAATATGATTGTTTTTGTTCAATCATTAATGAAAGTGAAATAGTGAAATAATAATTCGCTTTTAGAAGCCAGTTTGGTTCAATTTTGTCAAAATAAGCTAAGAAACATCGCTGATGAATTATTCACTTGCAAGACAATAATTCGACCTCATTTAATCTGTATTCATGTGACCTTCAACTTAACCCTATAGCTATAGACGGGTTACGCATGAATTAGGCGTGTTCAGTTATTAAAAGGAAAAGAATGTCAACAATGAAAGTGAAACAAGGGTAAACCATTTGATTGACTGATCCACAAAAACTCATTCTTATACAGGTAAAAACGATGATTAACATATATTTTTAACCTACAATATGAAATCAAACAGACCTAGAAAAATCCAATTGACCGAGTTCGCTATCTATTTATATCTATACTTATGTTTATATCGGGTTATATGACCGTCGGCAGTCTTCGGAGGTCACCTCGATGGTTATTTAGATGGTGTTTGGACTAAAATACACACAAAATGCTGATACATATTATTGATCCCATGCATTGTAAATTGTTTAGTTTAGACTTTTTAAAAATTGGATATACGTTTAAGTGTGTTATAAATCAAATATGAGAATTTGAGTCAAATCGATGAACATGAATTCCACAGCTAATGGCCCTTTAATAGACTGGAAAATAATCTCCCATCAACACCAAAGTACTCACATGACATAAACATAAAGATACATAAAGATTTATATAAAAAAAATCAACCACTGACACGTTTCCTGACCTTGGCATTTGAACATGTGGCAGAGGTAAACTAGTTATTTTATATCTCAATCGTCCAATTTTTTTTTTTATATCTATCAGTGGGACATTAAAGATCTTACACTAAATATTTACATGAAAAGTAACTTCGTCTATAATATACTTGTATTATAATTCATAAACCACAAAAATGCTTGCAGTTATTGAAAGCTTTGTGTCGATCCGATGAGTTAAGCCCTTTTCAACTGATTTTTATAGTTTGTTCTTATGTTGTGCTGCAACACCAATGTCCCAGGTTAGGGGAGGGTTGAGTGCTCATAAACATGTTTAACCCCGCCACATTCTTTATGTGCCTGTCCCAAGTTAGGAGCCTGTAGTTCAGTGGTTGTCGTTGGTTCATATCTGTCATATTTGTTTTTCGTAATTTTTTTTGGTTATAAATTAGGTCGTTAGTTTTCCCAATTGAATTGTTTCATAATTTTCATGTCGGGGCCTTTTACAGCCGACTATACTGTATAGGTTTTCCTCATCGTTGAAGACCGTACAGTTGCCTATAATTGCTGACATCCACTTCATTTGAACTTTTATGGATAATTGTCTCATTGGCAATCATACCACATCTTCTTATTTTTATAGCATTGTACCTAACCTGATTGATGATATGAAATTATGCCACTCTACACTCTACTATCCTGGCTGTAGATGAGTAGATTTCATACAGCAACGTCATAAACAAAACAAAGGGACACGATCTTGTATAAATATATTATTAATAAATCAATTAAAGTATTTAAACTTCTTTTAATTAACAAAATAGTGTAATGACAAGATTTTTTCAAATTCAGCAGATCTTCGACAGTCATCATCTGGAGCATCCATTGGAATATAAGTTTAAGTTTGTGTATTTTATTTGTGTGTATGTATGTGTGTGTTGTTTTTTTTTTTTTGGAGGGAGGCAAAACATGACACAGCAGTTTGTCATGGTAATTCTTTTCAAATGTAATACAACATCTGATACAAAAATATTGATAGATAATGTTGATTATGTAGTGATAATTATGGTAGTCCATCAAATTGCTGCATGTTTTGCTGCAAAGTAGGCGAAATATATAGGTGTTCATAGTTTAATTTCTTCAACTTCAAGTTCTTTTTAAAAAATGCAGTACTTAAAGGTGTCATTCATGTTTCAATTCCCATGTATCTCAATTTTGAAATGGAAGTCCTGTTTTAATCCTGACTTATTTACTGTAATCCTTGCTTGTGCATTACACTCTGACTTGATAATTCTGTTGGAATTTCCATGCTATAACTTATATTTCAAATTGAAAGCAATTTTGATTCCAATTTATTTACTGTAATCCTTGCTTGTGTATTTCACTCTGATTTGATGAATCTGTTGGAATTTCCATGTTATAACTTAATTTAGGATTTTAATTTGAAAGCAAAACCTTCCAGTGTACAAAAATCTGTATTCTTCATTCAGTTTTGATAGACATTTTCCCGTAGACATTTAAAGCCATGTGAAGCTGGATTGTGCATAGCTACTTATTGACAAAGAATCTGAAATATGTTGAAAAATTCACATTTATCCTCTAAAATTAATGTGCATTTATTTTTCATTCTATGAATTTTTTGTCATAAATGTCATTGCAACTCTCGGTACAATAAATACTTTAATAAATGTGTCTATCCATTTTATCTACAGCTCACAAGATGTACACAAATTCCATACTGACAATCCTATCCCTCAAGCCTATCATACAATTGTGATATTTTGTGCATCATTATCTATAAGTGTCTACACCAAGAAATGACTAGGAGGAGTCCACCATTCATTCAAAATATGACTTTTTCCCTAATGGCAAATAATAACAAAAGTATACAAGCAAAACAATAACAAACAATACCACATCAAGGAATGTTCACAATTACTGAAAGTAAGTTCAAAAGTACTCAACTTACTGATGCAATCCTATACTCTCTACTATCAGTGGCTGTAATTAGGAGTAAATTTCATACAGCAATGCCATAAACAGAACAAGAGCTGGTACAAAGCCAACAATAAATAATTACAGAGTAAAATAAAACAAATGGGAAATGTGTCCATGGGACACAAATGATGCCCCCACTTGCATATAAAGTTATAAAGAGACATAACTGAAGAATGGTAAAAGTGACGTAACCCAAATTTGTACTTGATCTGAGTTTTGTGGTAATAAGCATTGTGTTTAAGTTTCATAACATTTAATTGAGGCAAACTTAAGTAAGGGAACGGAAACGAAAAATTCTGCAATTTTTCCATTTGTAAAGGGGCATGACTCTAGAACGGTTAAAGTGATACCACAAAAATTCAAAGTTGATCTGTATTTTGTGGTAATAAGCATTGTGTATAAGTTTCATAACATTTGGTTGAGGCAAACTAAAGTTAGAGAACGGAAATGAAAAATTCAGCAATTTTTCCATTTGTAAAGGGGCATAATTCTAGAACGGTTAAAGTGACGCCACCAAAATTCAAACTTGATCTGTGTTTTGTTGTAATAAGCATTGTGTATAAGTTTCATAACATTTGGTAGAGGCAAACTAAAGTAAGAGAACGGAAACCAACTGTGGGACGTACAGACAAGGGTATGGTGGCATTGTTACTGCATAGTTTCCTTTGCAACCCATTTAGAAATTACATTTTCATCATGTTTGGGATTTGAATGGCAAATAAAAAACACTAATATTCCTCTCTGAAACTACAAGGCCAGTTGTTTTGATATTTTATAGGAATGATGACTGGGAAACTGTCTACAAGCTTTTCTTATTTCAAGTTGATCTAATGGCAAACATAGATTTATCCTGCCGAACTGACTTTAAATAAAGCTAATACTAACAATGAACACTGCCCTTTCCTGGATCTTGATATCTTTATCTTTAACGGGAAGCTTAATACCAAAATTTATGATAAAAGAGATGATTTTTCATTTCCTATTGTTAATTATCCATTTTTAGATGGTGACATTCCCTTGTCGCCATCTTATGGTGTTTATATATCTTAACTTGTTCGATTCACTCGTGTATGTAACAACGTATTTGATTTCAACGAAAGAAATCTCTGTATTACTGAAAAATTATTACACCAGGGTTTTTCGATATCACAAACTAGTCAAAACATTTACTAAATTTTATCATCGGTACAAGGACATCATTCGTAAATATAAATCAACATGCAGGCATCTTATACGTTCAGGTATTTCAAATCCAATATTTTATGGTAATATTCTTTACAAAAATGTTGGCATTCACCTCAAAAGCTAACAAAACCTTTAAACAGACTTATTCGGAAAGGATATAGTTACGATACTATTGTCAAGTCATTAAGGATTGCATATTTTGGTATTAATATTGATTCACTCATAGGGTCTTTTCATCGGAAATAAACACATTTATTCTAAAACCAGCTGTTGGAATGATACGGGTTATGTTCTTCTCATATATTTTATGATGGTATGATACTAAACCCTAACGGGAGGGATTGTACTTGATTTTCATATGATGAAGACATAATCTTTCAATCAGTTTAATTGAGGTCTGGAGCTGGCATGTCAGTAACTGCTAGTAGTCCTTTGTTCATTTATGTATCATTGTCATTTTGCTTAGTTTCTTTTGTTACCTTTTCTGACAACGGACTCAGACTTCTTTTAAACTGAGTTTTACTGTGTGTTTTGCTATGTGTTTCTTTATTCTACATTGGCTAGAGGTATAGGGGGAGGGTTGAGATCTCACAAAACATGTTTAACCCCGCTTCATTTTTGCACCTGTCCCAAGTCAGGAGACTCTGGCCTTTGTTAGTCTTGTATGTTTTTTAATTTTAGTTCATTTACTGTGGATTCATTATTATTCGTTGGATACCAATTTTCGTGGGTTTCGTGGGTACAGGTGAACCACGAATTCAAATGTTCAACGAATTACAAATGTTAATTTGGCTTTGTATGCAGAGATTGGCAAAACCACGAAATCAAATATCCACGAAAATGCAAGTGTTCCTCAATCCACGAAAATTGATACCCACGAAAATAAATGAATCCACAGTATATGTTTTGGAGTTTAGTGTGACGTCCATTTTCACTGAACTAGTACACACTTTTATTTAGGGCCAGCTGAGGACCACCTCCCTGTGCGGGATTTTCTCGCTGCGTTGAAGACCCATTAGTGGCCTTCGGCTGTTGTCTGCTCTTTGGTCGGGTTGTTGTCTCTTTGACATATTCCCCATTTCCATTCTCAATTTTATAGAAGTATTGGTGACACATAGTTCCCAATTAAACTCCAGGAAAGAAACTTTGTAGAAAGGTTGCTGACCGAATTCTCAAATTGTATCAAGTTTACCAAAGATTGCAACATTCTGTATGTGCTTGTCCTAAACTATTTTTGTTTTCAAATTTATGGCCCATGAAATTTAGAAATTTTTCTTAGATTTTTTGTTTTAAAGTGGCAAGTATCATTTAATGGCAAACCAATGCCCTACTTTGACTTATTGTTAAAGTACTAAGCATCTTGTGTTGTGTTTTTTCAACCAAAGTAATCCTGATGAGTGATTCAGGTTTCTTGGAACATTTTCATAAACAGCTAGACAAAACTCCTATTTAGTAGCACCATTTTTTCCTATGAAATATTTCATAAATGATAAACAAAGTTTTTTTTTCCCATTCAGGAAGAAAAAAAAAAGATTTTGGGGTAGGTTCACAAAAACAATTCTGCAATCTTTGATATTAATTTTTTCTCAAATATGTTCCTAAATAGATTCCCAAGCTTAGTTGCTTTAAAATTTCTTGCAGTCATCAGAGTCTGTAAAACAACAAAGTAAGCGAAACAAAACAGAACTATGAATAGATACCATTATCACTATACATACCACATCTCCTTATTTTAATATTCACTCAGTATGGGTATAAAAACTAAACCATGATCAATGAACCATGACATTTGTGTTACACTATTCTTTGGACCTATATAAAGAACAGTTCATATTTGAAGTAAAAAGTAATGGTAAGTGCTGAAACAACTAAATAAACCCCACCACATTTTTATGTCTACCCTAATTAGTGGTAAGTCTTTTATAATGTCAGTATGATTTTTTTCCTCTAAGGAATTTGACATTGATGTCATTTCTTTATTTAATATTTTTTAACACTTGAATGATTTAAAGGTTTTAACATATTCCATACTTATAGATTATTTATGGTTTTGAAAAGGAGAGGGAAATTCTTGGCAACAATCTCATCCAAGGGTGATAGGCCTGAGATGAGATGTAGATAAAAACTATCTAAAGTTGAAAGACCATCGATAATCTGCTTATCGCTATTTTCCTAGGCAAGATGACATATGACGTCATCATTTTTTTACTCTACTCAACTGAGAAAAACTATTATCAGTCAAGTCGCTCAAGATGGAAAATTATCACACAAAAAGTCAAGATCAAAGCAAAATTTAAGAAAACAGCGATAAACACTGGTATATTGTTGAAGATCAAATGTCTTAATTGTGTCTTTTGGGTGCTGTCTCTTTGGCATATATCCCTTTTTTGTCTTTATAAATAGAAAGAACTAAATTCAAATTGGTTTTGCCTTATCGACTTCAAACTAAAGTGGGCATTACACAGTGAAAATTCAAGATAATATTATTTTGTACTTGTTTATTTCTAATGTTTTCTTTATAACATATAAAATGCTGTTCACAGAAAAAGCTTAACAATCAGAATCCACTACATTAATAGCTTAAGGCACCTGAAACATTTAAAAAAATGACTATGTTCTGCAGCAGGTTTGTGAAAGGGAGGTGTAGATGTCTGTAATGGCTGGTAAAAAGAGATTTTATGGTAAATTTGATTATTTTTTCGATCAAAAGGGGAGTATATGACCTCTATGCTCAAACCTTAATCCACAACTGTGCAGTTCTCTTTACATAAAACCAGATCCTAGTTAAATAAATAATCTAGGTGATTTTCCTCTAACTCTGAAATTTGAATTGAGTGGTTAGTGTTTACATAGGAGATATTTTTAGTGTTATTAAACCATTGCATAGATTCGATTTCTTTTTTATTAGTAATTTATAACACAGTGGGTTTTTACTTTTACTTTGAAGAAATTTTGTATTAACCATAATGAATTTTCAAAACTTCCACCAATAGCAACAAACAGAAAATGGCATAATGCATTACCAAAGCTCCATAAAATCTATAACTATTGCATGAAAATCCCTTCCATATGATCATTAGAACAATCCAATCAGATGTTTTAAGAAATACAACATATGTAAGGGTCTTTCAGTCAAAATTACATTAGTTGAACAACAAATATATAAAATATTGAAACATATTTTACATGTTTATCTGCACAATTTAAAACTTTAATTGTATCTTACAGAATCAATATGAAGCAAATGTGAGGCATGATATGACAGATATGAAATCAAAAATCAACTTGTCAATCACTCATATCCATGTCAACTGATTGCAGATTAATATCGTCTGGAGGGAGGGATGTTTCTGCCGGCCGAAGTGAATCATTTTCACTGTTATAATCTTCTTGTAATTTTTCTTCTTCATCATAATTTCTTATAACTTTTGTTTCTTTTGTTTTCTCTTCTCTTTCTCTGCTGGATCGGTCTCGATGTTTCTTCTTCTTTTCACGATCTCTATCCCTACTTCTATCCCTTTTTTTGTCTCTCTCTCTTTTACCCCTAAAAAATAAAAAAAATAAATGACAATAACAGAAATTGTAAGGTGTAGGTTTATTTTAGACATAGCAAACTTTTATAACTGAAGAAATGTTGCTGTCATAAATGATAACTAATCCCCTGGTCCTCTTGACGGCTAATCAAACTAAAAAAAGATCTCATAACTGTTTACAATGTATTTACACTAAATCCATTGGATGTGTTGGAGTTGGCTTTGAAATAGCTTTCAGTAACTGAGAAGAATCTAAGATTGGTTAATTTTTTTTTCTGTCTTTTTGTAAGTTTTTTTTTTGTGTGCTTAATGCTGATCTGATGGGTGAAGTCCTTTCCAAGTGATTTTTATAGTTTGTTCTGATGTTGTGGTGCTACACCACTGTTCCAGTTCAGGGGGAGAGTTGATCTGCCAAAAACATATTTAAGATTGCAACATTCTGTGTGTGCTTGTCCTAAGTCAGGAGCCCATAATTCAGTGGTGGTCACTAGTTGCTGTCTGCCATATTTGTTTTTAACATATATCAAGCAATCGGTTTTCTCTTTTGTACTGTTTTGCATTTTTTCATGCCTGGGCTTTATATGGTATGGGTTTTGCTCATTGTTGGAGGCTGTACAGTGCCCTATAATATATCCCCTTACAAACTTCATTAGTTAAGACTACAGATCTATTTTTGGCTTCTGTGTATTAACTTCTTTGCCTTTTTCAACTAGATAATGTATTTTTTTCTTTAGAATTTTGTGTGGAAAGTTCAACATCTTTTCAACCAGAGATCTGTATTGCTTATACATAATTGGTTATGGATTTAAAATGTACCTGCTACGTGATCGTGACCTCTTCCTTGACCTGCTTCTGCTCCTTCTCGATTTTTTGTAACTCCGTCTACTGAAAACACAGAAAAACTCACTTTGAACTTAGAAATCATCATGATTTTTTACAAAACTTTCAAGTTATAAGTTAAATTTTTGTCTTATGAAAAAGCCACTGATGCCTTTACATGACCTTGTGTAAATTGTTGCAACTACCAAGATAGACATATTTTGACAAAATACTGACTATACAGTTGTTATATTTAAGATTTGATATGCTTTCCTCTTGTTTTTTATAGATTAAATTTCATCAATATTTCTTTTTTTGCAAAGTTCATGTAAATTCCTTGTTATGTGTTTTGCCTTGGTGTTGCTAAGTGCAATAGTCTGCAATAGACTAGCTTTTGATATGCTTTATTTGTGTTACACAGATTATTGCCAAGAAACCTCCACTCCATTGAAGAACCATCAATAAATTATAATTCATTAAAAATTAATCATAAAACATATCATATCAATCTTCATGTACATCTTGACATGGTAAACTACCAAGGTGTAAAGTTTCATTGAAATTCATCTAACCATGGAGGAGTAATTATCCTTGCAATTTATACCCCCTACTCAGTTTGAGAATGGCAAGGTAAATTTAAAACACTAAAAGTTTCAAGACAAGCATGTTTCCTTACTAATTTACTAAATTACTTTGTGTTTGTGAAAGGATTCAATGAAAACCAAATTCAAATGAAGTACGAGTTGTGTGGTAAGGTTATGTATACAGAAAAAGCTGTTGGAAGCTGACAGTACTCCATTGTTACTCTTAAAATTCGTCAGGCAAAACATAAACATGAAACAAAAGCTAATACATGTAACTGTTGCTGAAACATGGATAAAACTGTAAACCCATCAGTGTCGACATCAAACTTCCTTTCTTTTCAAATCTTAAAACTAACGAGGGGTAAAGGTGAAGGAAACTATCACCAACCATAAAACTGTAAGCAGGGTAACAGAACTTAAAGTTCTAAGTAAGTTACCTTTCTGCAGACTTATCACTTTTGTGTTTGTCTTTTGGTACACTACAGTAAAAAATAGCAGTTCATAGAACCATGTCATAAAATATGATTATTACGAATGAGCCAAACCAGGTTGATTTATGAAATAGTAAAAATCTGCCGGGACACAGAAAAAGCTTGCTCTTTATCAAAACTAATCAGAGTATATTTTAGTTTTAGTTTGTAAATTTGGTGTATTTTTTTTTCAATTTGGTTTATGTTTAAAAATCTTAAATAAAAAAGTCCAACACAGAATATTTTATAAAATAAGAATGACAAAATTAATCACTGTCTTTCTTATTTAAAAGTAATACCTTTCTGTTACTTTAAACATACATGTCATAATTTGGAATATATCAAAGTATAATGTTAAAAGAGAAAAGGGTTGAGTTTCAAAAGATCTTTCCGACCCCAAAATGAAAAGAGAATAAGGGGATGATTTAGATCTGACAAAGTTCCCTCAAACATTTATAATAAAAGTATATCAACATTATTAGAAGAATTTCTGAAAGATAAGGGCTATAACTCTTGCACTATAAAAATAAATTACAGATCAGCTAAAACCAAACTCAAGACCAAAAGATCTTTCCAAATTCAAACCCAAAAATAAACTAGTATTTGAGGATCAGTCAAAAAATGCAAATCTTCAAATTCATCACGCCAAAAAAAATCCTGAAATGAAACAAAATGTGTATATGCTGCTTAAACATGGATATAATTCAGTGACCTTTCCTTGGTGGAAAACATTTTCCTTTCTTTTCATATCAATAAACTGATGTGGGGTATAACTGAAGAAAGCCACCACCAATGAAAAACTGTAAGCAGGGTAACAGAACTTAAAGTTCTAAGTATGTTACCTTTCTGCTGACTTATCACTTTTGTGTTTGTCTTTTGGTACACTACAGTAAAAAGTAAAAACAATAGCATTTCAATAGAAACATGAAATAACATATGTAAATATGAGCCAAACCAGGTAGTAAAATGAGATTACAAATTAGATTTGATTTGAAGAAAGTAAAAATCTGTTGGAATTCAGAAAATGATTTCTCATTATCAACACAACAGATCTGAGTATTTTTTAGTATCATTTTGTTAACATGGTGTATTTCTATTTGATTTGGCTCATGTGTTGAAAATCTGTAATAAACAAAACAAACAAACATTGCGCTAAAATAGAAAGACCAAATTAATAAGCTTCTCTTCCACATTCTAAAGGGAGTTAGACAAGACTATCACATAAAAACAAAATATATGATAGTACAGGGTCATAACTCTTGAATGATAAATAAATAAAAGAAAAATGTGTCTGAGGACACAAATGCCCCTGCTCCAGCTTGCTTATAACAAGTGAAAATACTTTTTAAGAGCATTTGATGTCAGTCACGAAAAATCTGAGCATTGTGCTTAGCATTGTGTATGAGTTTCATAAACTTTAAATGAGGCAAACTTAAGTATGGAAACAATAAAAATAGCAATTTTCCAAGTTATAAAGGGCATAACTATAGAACAGTAAGTGACTCACTGCCCAAATTTTGATCTCTGACTGCAAGTTTTGGTTCTTAGCATTGTGTATGAGCTTCATAAAACTTGCATGAGGCAAACTTTAGAGTGCGGAAATGAAAAATTTGCAATTTTCCAAGTTATAATGAGGCATAACACTAGAACAGCAATTCTAATGCAATTATTTTGTATCAATGGTTTTGATTGGATGACAATAAGTGTAAAATTCTCTATCTCCCTGTCTGTAACTAAGGAAGCCGACATTTTGAATTATGGAATGTATTGACATGTAGTTTCTCCAATAAAACGCAAAAAAAACCTCACATTTTGCACCTAGAAATCTTCTTTTTATCAAGTTTGATTACATTTGGAGGCGGACAAGAAGCCAGAAAACGCCCGGTGTTTACGTTTGATGCCTGAAGCATACCTGTGACGTTACCTAGTTTAGGCGCCAAAGAAGATAACACCATTTTGCAGAATTTTCGTTTGATGAAAATTTTACAATGAAATAATGACTAAAATTGAATGATTTGTTCATTTTGCATTAGAATGGAGATAACTGTATTGTATTTGAAGCTTTGCGGACGTCCATCGGTAGTTTTACTGTTGCAAATTGAGTTTACCTGGCGACGCCTAATCTCTTCAAGTGACTCACTGCCATAATTCTAACTCTGATTTTGTTCTTAGCATTGTGTATGAGTTTCATAAAATTTGGATCCAGAAAACTTAAGTTAGAGTGCGGAAATGAAAATGGTACGAACGGTCAAGGGTAACACTTAATTCCCCCTTTGCCAAGTGGCAGGGGCATAAAACAAACTCAAGATCAAAAGATCTTTCCAACTCAGAAATAATCATCTCTAAGGTTTGTTCTTGTGCCAAGTCAGGCTATCTGGACCATGTGTTGTTCATTGCTGTTTGTATTTGTTTGAACATCTATTTTTTCAGAGTAGTAAGGTGTTGATGGTTGGTGTGGTCTGTTCTGTCAAATATTTTTGGTAAATCCTGGTATGCTTTTGTAATAAAACTTGACGCTCTAAAGAGCCATTGTCGGTCACCTGCATCTTCAACAATAGCCATTTTTGGTAAAAATCATCATGAAAGGGCAATAACTCTATTATGAGTTAACTGACAATTTCAGTCATGTTGACATATTTGTACATCTTGTTCTGCTGATCATTTTTGCTTTTTTTAGTATCTATCTACACTTTTCAAGATAATAGGGAAAACTCCAATAATGGTAAAAACAGCTTTAAAGGGAAATAACTTCAATAACATGTCGACTGAAAAAAGAATTCAGGCATGATGGCTTATTTGTAGATCTTGTCTTGCTGATCATTTTTGCTATATATATTATCTATCTATCTATTATAGTTTTCAAAATAAATGTCAATAAAATGCTTCGCTGGGCGCAGCTTGATACGACCGCAGAGGTCGAACCCTGAACAGTTGGGGCAAGTATGGACACAACATTCAAGCTTGATACAGCTCTGAATTTGGATTGTGATTAAATATTTGACACAGCATAGGTTTCTGACACAGAAAGAATGTGGTCTAAGAACTTCAATTTTTTTAATTTACCTATTATGGTCCAATGTCCAATCAAAATACATGGTTAGATTCAGCATATCAAAGAACCCCATATATTCAATTTTTGTTGAAATCGAACAAAGTTTAATTTTGGACCCCAACTTGGACAAACTTGAAAACTGGTCCCATAATCAAAAATCTAAACACATGTTTAGATTCAGCATATCAAAGTACCCCAAGAATTCAATTTTTGTTAAAATCAAACTAAGTTTAATTTTGGACCCTTTGGACCTTAATGTAGACCAATTTAAAAAACGGGACCCAAAATTAAAAATCTAAAAACACGGTTAGATTTGGCATATCAAAGAACCCCAATAATTCAATTTTTGATGAAATCAAACAAAGTTTAATTTTGGACCCTTTTGACCTCAATATGAACCAATTTGATAGCGGGCCCACAAAATAAAAAATCTAAATACATGGTAAGATTCAGCATATCAAAGAACCCCATATATTCAATTTTTGTTGAAATCAAACAAAGTTTAATTTTGGACCCCAATTTGGACCAACTTGAAAACTGGGCCAAAAATCTAAAATCTAAATACATGTTTAGATTCAGCATATCAAAGAACCCCATATATTCAATTTTTGTTGAAATCAAACAAAGTTTAATTTTGGACCCCAACTTGGACCAACTTCAAAACTGGTCCCATAATCAAAAATCTAAACACATGTTTAAATTCAGCATATCAAAGAACCCCAAAAATTCAATTTTTGTTAAAATCAAACTAAGTTTAATTTTGGACCCTTTGGACCTTAATGTAGACCAATTTAAAAAACGGGACCCAAAATTAAAAATCTAAAAACACGGTTAGATTTGGCATATCAAAGAACCCCAATAATTCAATTTTTGATGAAATCAAACAAAGTTTAATTTTGGACCCTTTTGACCTCAATATGAACCAATTTGATAGCGGGCCCACAAATAAAAAATCTAAATACATGGTAAGATTCAGCATATCAAAGAACCCCATATATTCAATTTTTGTTGAAATCAAACAAAGTTTAATTTTGGACCCCAATTTGGACCAACTTGAAAACTGGGCCAAAAATCTAAAATCTAAATACATGTTTAGATTCAGCATATCAAAGAACCCCATATATTCAATTTTTGTTGAAATCAAACAAAGTTTAATTTTGGACCCCAACTTGGACCAACTTGAAAACTGGGCCCATAATCAAAAATCTAAACACATGTTTAGATTCAGCATATCAAAGAACCCCAAGAATTCAATTTTTGTTAAAATCAAACTAAGTTTAATTTTGGACCCTTTGGACCTTAATGTAGACCAATTTAAAAACGGGACCCAAAATTAAAAATCTAAATACACGGTTAGACTTGGCATATCGAAGAACCCCAATAATTCAATTTTTGATGAAATCAAACAAAGTTTAATTTTGGACCCTTTTGACCTCAATATGAACCAATTTGATAGCGGGTCCACAAATAAAAAATCTAAATACATGATTAGATTCAGCATATCAAAGAACCCCAAGAATTCAATTTTTGATGAAATCAAACAAAGTTTAATTTTGGACCCTTTTGACCTCAATGTGGACAAAGTTGATAACGGGGCCCAAAAATCAAAAATCTAAATACATGGTTAGATTCAGCATATCAAAGAACCCCATATATTCAATTTTTGTTGAAATCAAACAAAGTTTAATTTTGGACCCCGATTTGGACCAACTTGAAAACTGGGCCCATAATCAATAAAATGCTTCGCTGGGGCGCAGCTTTATACGACCGCAGAGGTCGAACCCTGAACAGTTGGGGCAAGTATGGACACAACATTCAAGCTTGATACAGCTCTGAATTTTGATTGTTATTAAATATTTGACACAGCATAGGTTTCTGACACAGAAAGAATGTGGTCTAAGAACTTGAATTTTTTTAATTTACCTATTATGGTCCAATGTCCAAAATCAAAATACATGGTTAGATTCAGCATATCAAAGAACCCCATATATTCAATTTTTGTTAAAATCAAACAAAGTTTAATTTTGGACCCCAACTTGGACAAACTTGAAAACTGGGCCCATAATCAAAAATCTAAACATATGTTTAGATTCAGCATATCAAAGAACCCAAGAAATCAATTTTTGCTAAAATCAAACTAAGTTTAATTTTGGACCCTTTGGACCTTAATGTAGACCAATTTAAAAAACAGGACTTAAAATTAAAAATCTAAATACACGGTTAGATTTGGAATATCAAAGAACCCCAATAATTCAATTTTTGATGAAATCAAACAAAGTTTAATTTTGGACCCTTTTGACCTCAATATGAACCAATTTGATAGCGGGGCCCACAAATAAAAAATCTTAATTCATGGTTAGATTCAGCATATCAAAGAACCCCATATATTCAATTTTTGTTGAAATCAAAAAAAGTTTAATTTTGGACCCCAACTTGGACCAACTTGAAAACTGGGCCCATAATCAAAAATCTAAACACATGTTTAGATTCAGCATATCAAAGAACCCCAAGAATTCAATTTTTGTTCAAATCAAACTAAGTTTAATTTTGGACCCTTTGGACCTCAATGAAGACAAATTTAAAAAACGGGACCCAAATTAAACATCTAAAAACACGGTTAGATTTGGCATATCAAAGAACCCCAATAATTCAATTTTTGTTGAAATCAAACAAAGTTTAATTTTGGACCCCAATTTGGACCAACTTGAAAACTGGGCCCATAATCAAAAATCTAAATACATGTTTAGATTCAGCATATCAAAGAACCTCATATATTCAATTTTTGCTAAAATCAAACAAAGTTTAATTTTGGACCCTTTGGACCTTAATGTAGACTATTTTGAAAACTGGACCCAAAATTAAAAATCTAAATACACTGTTAGATTCGGCATAACAAATAAATAAATGTGATCAAAGATTTTACAAATCTAATGTGCCATACTGTGCAATTAAAGATAACTTCTTGAAATTTTTCAATATTTGAAATTTGAAAAAAAAATAATATTTGAAGAATAATTCTTTTTAATTTCTGAAATCTAAAATGAGAAAAAATTGACCCCCCACAATTTCTTTTTATCCCCCCCCCCCTTTTTTCCCCCAAAAAATTCTTTCCCTCAAGATATGGTCATAATCTCAATTCAAATTTCCAATGGAGTTGGCAACCATAATTACCCATTTAATTTTACCATAGTGCTAACTTAATCTATTTTATAAAAGAATTAAAAATATAGTGTCAAATCTTTCATATAGATTTTTTTGTAAAATAAAATGATGCAACATTTGCAGATATTTTTACTGGTCTTCCTTTATAAATATGCATTTCTTTAAACATAATTTAAAAGCAGTGTAAGGGAAGTAACCAAAACGTTGTATTTGGATTACCTCCCTTACACTGTTTTAAATTATCTTTATTGTTCATTAACCATTACTTTATACATAATTTAAAAGCAGTGTAAGGGAGATAATTTCAATGATGTATTTGATTTATCTCCCTTACACTGCTTTAAATTAAGTTTTGTACTAAAGTATTTGTCCATTAACCAGGACAACCTTGTTTTTCCCCCTTTTTTGCCCCTAATTCCTAAACGGTTTGAGCCATAACCCCCCAAAGCAAATCCTAACAATCCCTTTGTGGTATGGAAACTTGTAGTATAATTTCAGAGAGATCCATACACTGTTCCACAGTTATTGTCTGGAAACTAGAAAATGCTTATTTTTGGCCCCTTTTTGGCCCCTAATTCCTTAACTGTTGGTACCATAACCCCCAAAATCAATCCCAACCTTCCTTTTGTGGTATTTAACCTTATGGTAAAATTTCAAAAAGATCCATTCACTTAAACTAAAGTTAGAGTGCGAAAACCAATGTGTATTCGGACGACGACGACGACGACGCCAACGTCATACCAATATACGACCACAAAAATTTTTTTGCGGTCGTATAAAAATCTAAATACATGTTTAGATTCAGCATATCAAAGAACCCTAAAAATTCAATTTTTGTTAAAATCAAACTAAGTTTAATTTTGGACCCTTTTGACCTTAATGTAGACCAATTTGAAAACGGAACCAAAAATTAAGAATCTAAATACACGGTTAGATTCGGCATATCAAAGAACCCCAATAATTCAATTTTTGATGAAATCAAACGAAGTTAAATTTTGGACCCTTTGGACCTCAATGTGGACCAATTTAAAAACGGGGCCAAAATCCAAAAACTTAATACACGGTTAGATTCAGCATATTAAAGAACCCCAAGAATTCAAGAATAAAACCCCATTGAAATTGATCAAGAAATTAGCAATTTATACGAAGTATCTTCTTTTGCACAATACTGTGCAATTGAATATTTCTTGCTATTGTGCAATACTGTACAATTGACAATTTCTTGCTATTGCGCAATATTGTGCTATTGGATATTTCTTGCTATTGCGCAATACTGTGCAATTGAAGATTTCTTGCTATTGCGCAATACTGTGCAATTGAAGATTTCTTGCAATTGTGCAATACTGTGCAATTGAAAATTTCTTGCTATTGCACAATACTTATTATATAATAATTTACACATCCTGTTTGTGTGTATCTCCTACCATATCATTATTATTTGCTTTTAAATATTAATCAGAAATAACCAACTTAAAATGGAAAATTTTAAAAGAAAAAAAAAGGAAAAAAAGAAAAAAAAAGAAAAAAAAAAAATCCCCCCCCCCCAAATCTTTTGAACCCCCTTATGATTCATCACCCCCAAACTCAATCCCAGCCTTCCCTTTGTGGTATGGTACCTTGCAGTACAATTTCAGAGAGATCCATACACTTGAACACAAGTTATTGTCTGGAAACTAGAAAAATGCTTATATTTGGCCCCTTTTTGGCCCCCAATTCCTAAACGTTTCGGGCAATTACCCCCAAACTCAATTCCAGCTTTCCCTTTGTGATATGGAACCTTGTAGTACAATTTCAGAAATATCCAAACACTTACACACAAGTTATTGTCATGAAATTAGAAAAATGCTCGTTTTTTGCCCCTTTTTTGGCCCCTAATTCCTAAAATTTTGAGGCAATTACCCCCAAAATCAATTACAGCCTTCCCTTTGTGATATGGAACCTTGTGGTACAATGTCAGAGAGATCCATACACTTACACACAAGTTATTGTCTGGAAGTTACAAAAATGCTTATTTTTGGCCCCTTTTTGGCCCCTAATTCCTTAACTGTTGGTACCATAACCCCCAAAATCAATCCCAACCTTCCTTTCGTGGTATTGAACCTTATGGTAAAATTTCATGGAGATCCATTCACTTAAACTAAAGTTAGAGTGCGAAAACCAATGTGTCTTCGGACGACGCCAGACGACGACGACGACGACGCCAACGCCATACCAATATACGACCAAAAAATTTTCAATTTTTGCGGTTGTATAAAAATGCAAAAAAATTGGAGAAAATCGTCATTAAAGGGCAATAACTTCAATAAGGAGTCAACTGAAGATTTCAGTCATGTTTGATTTATTTGTAGATTTTGACTTGTTGATCATTTATCCTAACTTAAATTTCTCTGTATCTATTATGAATTTCAAAATAATAAATAAAAATGAACAAGCATTCTGTGAGTATTGCATGGCAATACATATATGCATAGTCCCCTACCGGTTAACAATTTATTGTATTTGAACAAAATTTTAACTTGATCTATAACTTGTCATGGTGTAAACTATATAACAAATATCAAGTCAAAATCTTCAAGCATGACGAAAAAAAGTGTTGAAAACTGATTATTTAAGTGACCAAGGACCATAACTCTGCACAAAATCATCAGACCGGAAGAAAATTCGAACTTGATCTGTAACTTGTCATGATAAAACTATATACCAATTCTTAAATCAATATCATCAAAGCATGACAAAAGTGCGGAAAACTGATTATTTGAGTGAATTTTCTAAGTCAAAGGACCATAACTCTGCACAAAACCATCAGACCGGAACAAAATTCGAACTTGATCTGTAACGTGTCTAGATAAAACAATACACCAAATATCAAATCAACATCTTCAAGCATGAAGAAAAAAAGTGTGGAAAACTGATTTGCCAGACTGACGGACGGACAGACAGACAGACAGACGGAGTGCAAACCTAAAGTCTCCTTCAACTTCGTCAGTAGGGGACTAAAAACATTGATCAATTTGACATTTCAGGGCAATAACTTCTATAAGAAGTCATCTGACAGTTTGGACATAAATATACAGGTGGTAGATCTCATCATTCTCAACATTTTGACACCGGTCAGATTTTCTCTATTCATAGCTGTTTTCAAGATATTAGACAAAACTTGCATTTTACCCCTATGTTCTATTTTAAGCCAAATCAGCCATCTTGGTTGACAGGCAGGGTCATTGGATACATTTTTAAAATAAGATACCCCTCTAATGATTGTGGCCAAGTTTGGTTAAATTTGGCCCAGTAGTTTCAGAGAAGATTTTTGTAAAATTTAAAGGACAATGACAACGAAGAGAAATGCAAAATGATGAGAAAAGCTCACTTGGCAATTCGGCCAGGTGAGCCAAAAAGTGTCTCTCCATCATTAAACACATAGGAAAGAAAACAGAATTTCTGATAGAAAAGCACCATAACTCATAAACAGTAAATGTCAATCTACCAAAACTAATTCTTTTTTAAGCGGAAAATAAAATAGAATTAGGTGATCAAAACCTCATTTCAAATCTTCAAATTGATCAGGTTAAACAATATAAATGAAACACAAACAATTGTATTTGGTGCTAAATTAAGGATAACACTCTTAACCTATCTCTGATGACATCAAACTTCCTATTTAATAAAATCAATAAACTGATGTGGGACAAAACTGAAGAAAGCCATCACCAACCAAAAACTGTAAGCAGGGTAACAGAACTTAAAGTTCTAAGTATGTTACCTTTCTGCTGACTTATCACTTTTGTGTTTGTCTTTTGGTACACTACAGTAAAAAATAGCAGTACATAGAAAAATGTCATGAAATATCTTTTTTATGAGCTAAACCAGATAGAAATAACCTCACAAAATACATGAAGTTTTATTTTCAGGAAGAAAAATCTTTTGGAATACAGTAAATGCTTACTCACTATAAACTCTTATATGAGTATATTTTAGGTATCATTTTTTTGAATTTCGTGTATTTCTATTAGATGTAGCTCATGTTTTTAAAATTCTGTAATAAATCAAAACAAACCATTAAAGAAGTAATAAATGAAAAATGACAAAATAATCATTTTTTTTTTTTTTAATTTTAATTGCACCCGTCTGTTTTCTAAACATACATGTGATGATTTTGAATATATCAAATTGGAATTTTTGAAGAGAAAAAAATCAAGTTTGAAAGACCATTCCAAGCCCAAAATAGAAATAGTAATAAAATATTTTCCTTCACATTTATCATAAAAGACAACATCAAAATAGAAGAATTCATGAAAATAAAGGGCATGACTCTTGATACTTTTCAAATTTGTCAAAACAAATCCAAACTTGTACTCCATGGTCTATAACAATGTGTATGATGGAAATGATTTTTGTTTGTTTTTTAGCCCAAATTATTTATTTTAGATTAAGATGAAACATTCACCGATGAGCCATCACATGTAAGTTTTATTATTATGTTAATCATTTTCAAAGTCACATAAAAACACCATGTTAAACTTAGAACTATTCTATTAAAATGAGTATTTAAGGGCTGGAAGGATGCTTTTTTAACATCAGTCTTTAATCAATTAAGAGAATTTTTCCATTTGATATATGCATATACTCAAAGTATGTTGGTTATGTGGAGATTTTAGAGTCCCTTCCACATCCATTTTAATGGAATAATCCTTACATTGACAGTAAGTTCACTATGGGATTTTTTTTTTTTTTTAAATCAAACATAAGTTGAAACCGTATAAAAGCAACAAACAACCTAAAATTTCTTTTGTCCATAGTAAACTTACTCATTTATAATTCAAATGACATTATACTGTGGATTCAGTTTTTAGGTAACATTTTTCGTGGATTGATGAAAAATAGTCTTTTTCGAGGAAACTGTATTTCTTGGTTTTAACAAATTCTGCATTATAAACCTTCTGAAATTTTTTATTTCATTAAATTTTTTTACAAATTTGTGGTTTTAATTTATTGACCACATCCACGAAATGATTAATAATGATTCCACAGTATTACATGGTCGAAATTTTTAGGACATATTATAAAAATAAATATACTAACTCTCTACTCCTACTTCTGGATCTCCTGCTGGAAGTTCTTTTTGGAGATCTACTTCTTGACTTTCTTCTCCTTGGAGGACTGGAGCGTTTCTTTGGTGGAGTTTTGCTACGACTTCTGCTTACAGACCTGAAATATAAAAACTTTTCAATTAAAGGGTTGAAGTCAAATTTTAGCAATTTAAAAGTTTCCTATGCAATCCTATGCAATGATAACCCTGCAAAATTCTTAAGAACAACTTTTCAACTTATGTTTGAATAATTTGCTGTTTTTCTTCTGTTGGAAAGTTTATTCGTGGTTGATGTAAGATATCTAAAACCTTGGGTAGTTCAAATAATTGTATGTGGTTCTTATCGATCAGTTTGATGAGGTTGTTGATAATAACAATTAGTTTAGATAAAAGACTCTGACAGACAATATTGAAGAGATGAAAATAATCTTTTAAACAATATTTTTTTACGATAACTATTTAGTAAATCTTACAGAAATTTTTCTTGGTTTGATTTCTTAGTTTCAAATTATGTAATAAACTGTACAAATCATATTTATTTTTTGTCTTTCACAATTTTTCAACTCTACAAAAAAGAAATATTTCAGATATGCTGTTTAGAAAGAATCCTCAATTCAATAATTTACAGCATTAAATTATTTTTAATAATTAATTTTTATTTCTAAGGTAAAAAGAATATATTCAAGGCTTTTTTGTTCTGTTCAAAAGAGCTGTTGTTTAATTTTTGTTTTGTTTCTTTAATCAGACATCTCTTAAACACAATTGAAGGTATTTGTTATTTTTCTGATTGTTTTTTAATTGTGTAATGCAAGTTTTATCTACTTGAAGTTTATTTGTTTTTCATCACATAATCTATATGTAAATACATCTTTTTTTCTTGAGTCCAATGATGGAGATAAGAGATTCTAAAACATTATTATTCTACATAATTTCAGAAATAAAGTTGCCTATCTTTATAATTCAATATATGTGTTTTACCAATGTCCAAATTTTAAAATCATCAATGCAGATGAAATTATTAATCTTTCTTTTCCATATGTATACATTTAGTTTTCTAGCATATTGTCTTAATGAACAACAGTAGTTATAAAGGGAGATAAATACAGATGATAAGTGTGTTTTGATCATGCGTTACCTTTTTCTGGGTGCAGTGGTTTCTACAGGTTCTTTGTGTTGACTATATTATAAATAGAACAAAGAAAAAACATTGGTAGTAACTTTAGGGAATATGTGATCATGCGTCATAATGTTTGGAGATTTGATCTGCTAACCTTTCTGGAGCTCCCCAGATCACCCCCCGTTTTTGGCAGGGTTGCTGTTGCTCAGTCTTAAGTTTTTTATGTTGCGTTTTGTAGACTGCTGTTTGTCTTTTCATTGTTTTTCGGTATTTTTGGCATAGTGTTGTCAGTTCGTTTAAGTTTGGTAATGTCTGCCTCCCTTTTTTATTACTTTTTTTTTTTAATATATTCAAATGAGTATGAAAATGAAACCATTTCTAGAAATAAATAAGAATCTCAAACGATGTGACAAGAAAAAATTTGGGTGATTCATAAATATAAATAAAGGTTCAAAAATATGACTTCTTCTTCTCTCCATAAAACTTAATTCATTCTTGACATCAAATTGACCAGTATATCTGCATATTAATATCTGTAATGTGACTATCCAAAGTAACTACTACTGGAAGTGCACAAGTATTGTACCAGTCCATTACTTCAACAGTCAACAGTATTTAAAATAAATGTGGATTATGTCCACATGTGGCCACAGATGATGCCCCGCTTGCATATCATATAGCTATAAAGGGACATAACTGAAGAATGGTAAAAGTGATGCTACCCAAATTTGAACTTGATCTGAGTTTTGTGGTAATAAGCATTGTGTGTAAGTCTCATAACATTTGATTGAGGCTAACTTAAGAAGAGACAGAAACGAAAAATTCAGCAATTTTTCTATTTGTAAACACGCATAACTCTAGAACGGTTGTGTATAAGTTTTATAACATTTGGTTGGGACAAACTAAAGTTAAAGAACAGAAACGAAAAATTTGGCAATTTTTATGTTTATAAAGGGACATAACTCAAGAATAGTAAAAGTGAAGCCATCGAATTTCGTACTTAATCTGTATTATGCAGTAATAAGCATTGTGTATAAGTTTCATAACATTTGGTTGAGGTAAACTAAAGTTAGAGAACGGAAACAATATTTGTACTTGATCTTAGTTTTGTGGTAATGAGTATTGTGTATAGGTTTCATAATGTTTGGTTGGGGCAAACTTAAGTTACAGAATGGAAACTAAAAATTTAGCAATTTTTCGATTTATAAAGGGGCATAACTCAATAATGGTTAAAGTGACACTACCCAAATTCAACTTGATCTGTGTTTTATCAGTGAAAGGCAAAATTAAACATTGCATTGTATAAAGCATTGATTGTAGTTGATTATACTATAATCATGGACAAAGGAAGATAACTCCAATTTTAACAAGAGTGCACACGCTGAAATGTCTCGCCTTCTTTACTAATCATTGATATTATGTTGATAGTCCTAAATATAAACTTAATTACAACTGTCACATAAACTTAACATTAACCAAGAAAACTAAACATTGACCAATGAGACATGAAAATGAGGTCAAGGTCAGATGAACCATGCCAGGCAGACATGTACAGTAAACAATTCTTCTATATAACAAATATAGTTGACCTATTGCTTATAGTTTAAGAAAAACAGACCAAAACACAAAAACTTAACACTGAGCAATGAACCGTGAAAATGAGGTCAAGGTCATATAAAACCTGCGCGACTGACATATAGATCATAAAATATTTCCATACACCAAATATAGTTGACCTATTGCATATAGGGTTAGAAAAAAAGACCAAAACTCAAAAACTTAACTTTGACCAATGAACAATGAAAACAAGGTCAAGGTCAGATGACACACAGCCAGCTAGACATGTACACCTTACAATCATTCCATACACCAAATATAGTAGACCTATTGCATACAGTATAAGAAAAACAGACCAAAACACAAAAACTTAACTATAACCACTGAACCATGAAAATGAGGTCAAGGTCAGATGACACCTGCCAGTTGGACATGTACACCTTACAGTCCTTCCATACACCGAATATACTAGACCTATTGCTATCTGAGATATGGACTTGACCACCAAAACTTAACCTTGTTCACTGATCCATGAAATGAGGTCAAGGTCAAGTGAAAACTGTCTGACGGGCATGAGGATCTTGCAAGGTACGCACATACCAAATATAGTTATCCTACTACTTATAATAAGAGAGAATTTAACATTACAAAAAATGTTAACTTTTTTTTCAAGTAGTCACTGAACCATGAAAATGAGGTCAAGGACATTGGACATGTGACTGACGGAAACTTCGTAACATGAGGCATCCATATACAAAGTATGAAGCATCCAGATCTTCCACCTTCTAAAATAAAAAGCTTTTAAGAAGTTAGCTAACACCGCCGCCACCGCAGGATCACTATCCCTATGTCGAGCTTTCTGTGACAAAAGTCGCAGGCTTGACAAAAATTACTTGAATAATGACTTGATATTTTTGGAAAAAAAATGAAAAATTTAGCAATTTTTCCATTTGTAAAGGGGCATAACTCTAGAACAGTAAAAGTGACGCCCCCATAATTCAAACTTGATCTGTGTATTGTTGTCGAGCCTGCGACTTTTGTCGCAGAAAGCTCGACATAGGGATAGTGATCCGGTGGCGGCAGCGGCGTTAGCTAAGTTCTTAAAAGCTTTATATTTTAGAAGGTGGAAGACCTTGATGCTTCATACTTTGTATATGGATGCCTCATGTTAAGAAGTTTCTGTCAGTCACATGTCCAATGTCCTTGACCTCATTTTCATGGTTCGTATATTCGATGTATGGAAGGACTGTAAGGTGTACATGTCCAACTGGCAGGTGTCATCTGACCTTGACCTCATTTTCATGGTTCAGTGGTTATAGTTAAGTTTTTGTGTTTTGGTCTATTTTTTTTATACTGTATGCAATAGGTCTACTATATTTGGTGTATGGAATGATTGTAAGGTGTACATGTCTAGCTGGCAGGTGTCATCTGACCTTGACCTCATTTTCATGGTTCAGTGGTCAAAATTAAGTTTTTGAGTTTTGGTCTTTTTTTCTAATACTGTATGCAATTGGTCTACTATATTTGGTGTATGGAATGATTGTAAGGTGTACATGTCTAGCTGGCAGGTGTCATCTGACCTTGACCTCATTTTCATGGTTCAGTGGTCAAAGTTAAGTGTTTGAGTTTTGGTCTTTTTTTCTAATACTGTATGCAATAGGTCTACTATATTTGGTGTATGGAATGATTGTAAGGTGTACATGTCTAGCTGGCAGGTGTCATCTGACCTTGACCTCATTTTCATGGTTCAGTGGTCAAAGTTAAGTGTTTGAGTTTTGGTCTTTTTTTCTAATACTATATGCAATAGGTCAACTATATTTGTTGTATGGAAGAATTGTTAGCTGTACATGCCTGCCTAGCATGGTTCATCTGACCTTGACCTCATTTTCATGGTTCATTGGTCAATGTTTAGTTTACTTGGTTAATGTTAAGTTTATGTGACAGTTGTAATAAAGCTTTATATTTAGGACTATCAACATAATATCAATGATTAGTAAAGAAGGCGAGACATTTCAGCGTGTGCACTCTTGTGGTAATAAGCATTGTGTATAAGTTTCATAACATTTGGATGAGGCAAACTTAAGTTAGAGAACGGAAATGAAAATTTTTCAAATTTTTCCATTTATAAATGGGCATAACTCTAGAATGGTCAAAGTGACGCCACCAAAATTCAAACTTGATCTGTGTTTTGTGGTAATAAACATTGTGTATTAGTTTGATAACATTTGGTTGAGGCAAACTTAATTTAGAGAACGGAAACCAATTTTGGGACGTACGGATGGACGGACGGACGGATGGATGTACGGACGGACAAGGGTAAAACTTAATGCCCCCTCCACTTCGGCGGGGGCATAAAAGTCCATCAAATTGGGCAAGAGTAACAGTAAGATAAAGATAAATCTGGATCATCCAAAAATAGGTCACTGTACTTCATATTTAATTCCAGATACTTTTAACCAAGAGTTAAAGATCCGCCATTTTATCAGACCTTTTTTAAAGTCGCACAAGTGATCTCTTTATGAAATTTGACTTTAATGCGTACACAAATGACAAATTTAGAAACCAAGAACACTATGCACAATGAAACTTTTTCCACTGATATTAGAACTTTTATGTTGCATTCCTGTTTCAGAACAATGTTGTATAATCAAAAGAAATATACATTTGTATGTGAAAATTTGTTAGTGTATAAAGGTGACAAATGTATGAAAAGAGAAAATAAATAAAAAAATAAAACAGAAAGCAGAAGTCACAAGCATATATTCTATTACCTTTCATATTCCTGTTTTATCATTGCAGGAGGACCATCACTAGTAAAACAGAAAACTTATTGTAAAACAATTGTACATAAGGTTTCAAAATAAAATGTTTCTTCTATCAAAGTTCAAAAATGCATGAAATATCTACAGGAGAGGGAAAAATCATGAGAAAAAAATGAAAAATGGATATTACTACTTACTTTCGGATCAAAATATTTCTTTTGATAATTAATTAGTACATCAAGATAAAAAGATCATTAATAATTCAAAGATAGCTGTCTTGTGACTGTCTTAGAAAATTATCAAATATTGTACTATTACTTAGCATATTGAGAACTATTTAGAAATTGTTAATTTCACCATGATGACTCCAAATAAAAGTCACAAGACAATTGACTAAAGTTGCATCACAACTGTACAATCATCACTTCAGAAGAAAAACTGTTCTCAGATAAATAATACTTTGAAAATTCAGAAAAATTTAATCAACTACAAAATTTACTACAGGATTAAGCATTCTTTTTTTGTTGAAATAATAGATCTATGTGTGCACTGGGTCATCTTATTGACACCAAAGTAAAAACTATCATAATAAGTTTGTGAGCAGTCTGTCCATTTCAGGCATTATTTAATTCATCAATACTTGTAATGTTCAATTCTTGTAATTTCAATTGAACAAAACTTTTTTTGTTTTTTTTTCTTTTCATATTCTCCTCATAAGAAAAAATGCTGCACATTGCCACAAGTTACTTGTTTATTTTGCTATCGAAATGATGTTTTCTATGGAAATTTATAGAGTAAGTTTTCACATGAATATGGATTAAAATTGTGGAATTTAATTAAATATAAGAACATGCCATTAAGATTCAAACTACATCTAAAAATACAGAGGGAAAAAGTTTAAAATGAATTATAATAATTATGATAAATTTATTGATGATGATAAAATGAAGTTGCCTAAACTACTGAAAAATGTAAAAAAAGAGGTTTTAAGGATGTTTGCTACTCTTGTTTTTGACTTTTTGTCAGATATTCGGAATCCTCTAGTTTTATTCATGTAGTGCACAAAAAAAGTTTGCCTACTAACCCTACTTTTCTTTTCATAATTTTTACATATAGTTTAAAAGGCCATTTTTGAAAATCTTATAAAATCATTTTCATTTTTTCACAGTTTTTGAAAGAAAAAAAATGCCAATGTTAAATGTATGAAAAATCTTAGAGAGAGAATTATTGCCCGCCAAGTTTTCAATTGATTATATTTCAAAAATAAGCACACAGACCTATCATTTTTTTTCTACTTCTAAAGTTCTACTATTTATATACTATCAATTTATAACAGTATTTTAAAAAGCTTGTTATTTTAAAACCGAGGAGTGAACATTCTTAAAAAATATATGTCACTTGTGATAACGAACTGTTACTATATAGATAATAAAACAATTGACACAGATTCTAAATAAACAAAAGTAAACATTGTTGCAAGGAGTTACACAAAGTTTTGTTCCAAATTGAATTAAACTGCAGTCGAATTTGTGTCTAACACTAACTATACAGTTATTTAGTATAGTCATATTTGATTTATTCAGGAATTCAGATGAAAGAGCAAAGTATAAGCACATCAAAATTATATGTAGATAAATGTAAGTTTTTGATTATCAATAATAATTATAATAAAACAGTTAAAATTGGTGCATATATAATAATTCATATCAAAGGGAAAAAAGTAATTACACTAATTATATGATTAAAAGAGTTAGTTCATCAAATGATATCAAATTCTAAAATTACAAGATCGATTGATTATTGCAACAAAACATAAATCATTTACCCTCAGTTCTACCATCAAACTATTGCAATTTTTTTTTAAGAATAATCTTTCCTCTTTGAATCCTAATTACGTTTGTCTTTGATGTTTTGTATTCGCTGTCATTTTAATTTTTGTTTTGCATATAAACTAGTCACACACAACACTCATTAAACAATCTTTAAAACTAAAATCGTTTTTTGGGGGTGGGAAAGGGGGGGGGGGGGGGGGGGAATATGCATAAATATCCCTACAACAAAATATCCTGATTTGCCATTGTACATAGGAACTTTTCAAAATAATGAAGGATTGTAATAAAAAATGAAACCGTCAACAAATTAATTTAATATATTCCACTAGTCAAGTTGACAAAGAAGTGTCAATGTTAGAGATTTGTTTACATACTATGTATTGAGATTTTCTTAGTTATCATCATGATCATAGGTCAGGACTAAAGTAAAAGTAGGTCCATTGGAAAAAAAATCAGTATTCAGAATAGAGTTTGGTGTCACGTTTTGTTCCCATCAAATATAAACCATTGAAGATTTGGTCTTAGCAACTCACTCTGACAGATTTACAAAGACCCCCCTCCTAAAAACAAGTGACCTGGTGAAGACATAAAAATACCCTGACATAATTTTCTTAAAAGATTATCTAAAGTCAGAATGTAAAATATATTTTTACAACAAAATTTTGTTAAATATAAATAATATCAAAAATATCAAAAATTAAGATATGCTATTGATTACACTCAAAATTTTATAAAACTTATAACGTAAAAATTTATACTTTTCAAAATGTAATCAATTTAAGATCATAACCATAATACACCACCATGATAATAAATGAGTTACAAGCAATTACATGGAGATCATATGTTTCTAATTCTAATATACAAAAAAGATCATTAGATTATCTGGATGATTTATTATAATGAAAATGATAAAACAAAGAAAAACCTCTCCCATTAAAAAGCTGTATTATACTGTTTACCTTGAAATAGATGCTGGATCTGGTTGGTTAACTTCTCTATAACAATAGAAATGGACCAGAGATAGAAACACAGCAAACTGTGTACAGGCAAGCAGTGAGTGTTAGTGCTTAAATTTGAGTTGTAAAATCTGAATATATTGGTATTTGAGGCTGTTCAAAAGTATTTTATTTTGTTAACAATTTTTTATAGCCAGTTATAAATATATAATTCTTTTGTTAAACAAGTCACAGTGACCCCACTTTTTTTTAATCTAGTACATATTATCATAAATCCAATCTTCAGTTTTTTAGTTTAAGAAGCTATTAATATAAATCTCATATATCTACATAAATCATTAGCTATAAAGGTAAAACACAACACACAAACACACTCTCAAAACATAAACAACAACCATAATGTATGTGTGTATAAATATTATACCTGCTTGGTGATCCTCCTTCTTTTTCTGATGGTGACACTTCCCTCTCTAACTTGGGTGGTGATAGAGACTTATGATGAGACTTGCTTCTAGAACGTTTCTTTTCTGGAGTCTTAGATCTTTTTTTAGGAGGGGACTTGCTTTTCCTTTTAGCAGTAGGACTCCTGTAAACAGAATTTGCTATTTCTTATATAAATATTCTTGATTCCACTAATGTAAAGGCCAGAGAAAATGTGGAAATGGTACAAGGTACTATGATATGGCCTTAAACAACTAACAGGTTCTTACATGAATCAACAATGGATCAAAAAATATTGTCTGTCCCAACTGTTACCAACTGAAACTAATACTAACAATAAATATGACATTCATTTAACTTTGAGATTCACAATCTATTAGTCGGCCAGGATTTACTACTTACACAAGTGATTTCAGAATCAAATCTTTAAGTGATTTTGGCTTTGAAAAATCAAAAAATTTCACAAAAATAAACACAGACTTTTTAAAATCACTGAAACAAGTAATTTGAGAAGTAATAAAATGCTCCGCTGGGGCACAGCTTGATACGACCGCAGAGGTCGAACCCTGAACAGTTGGGGCAAGTATGGACACAACATTCAAGCTTGATACAGCACTGGATTTGGATTGTAATTAAATATTTGACACAGCATAGGTTTCTGACACAGAATGAAAGTGGTCTAAGAACTTTAAAAAATTTAATTTACCTATTCAAACCATATCATTATTATTTGCTTTTATATATAAATCAGAAATAACCAATTTAAAATGGTAAATTTTAAAGAAAAAAAAGGAAAAAAAAATCCACCCCCCAAATTTTTTGAACCCCCTTATCATTCATCACCCCCAAACTCAATCCCAGCCTTCCCTTTGTGGTATGGTACCTTGCAGCACAATTTCAGAGAGATCCATACACTTGAACACAAGTTATTGTTTGGAAACTAGAAAAATGCTTGTTTTTTTGCCCCTTTTTGGCCCCAAATTCCTAAACGTTTAGGGCAATTACCCCCAAACTCAAACCCAGCTTTCCCTTTGTGATATGGAACCTTGCAGTACAATTTCATAAAGATCCATACACTTACACACAAGTTATTGTCCTGAAACTAGAAAAATGCTTGTTTTTTTGCCCTTTTATGGCCCCTAATTACTAAAATTTTGAGGGAATTACCCCCAAACTCAATCCCAGCCTTCCCTTTGTGGTATGGTACCTTGCAGTACAATTTCAGAGAGATCCATACACTTGAACACAAGTTATTGTTTGGAAACTAGAAAAATGCTTGTTTTTTGGCCCCAAATTCCTAAACATTTAAGGCAATTACCCCAAACTCAAACCCAGCTTTCCCTTTGTGATATGGAACCTTGCAGTACAGTTTCATAAAGATCCATACACTTACACACAAGTTATTGTCCTGAAACTAAAAAAATGCTTGTTTTTTTGCCCTTTTATGGCCCCTAATTACTAAAATTTTGAAGTAATTACCCCCAAAATCAATCCCAGCCTTCCCTCTGTGGTATGGTACCTTGCAGTACAATTTCAGAGAGATCCATAAACTTGAACACAAGTTATTGTCTGGAAACTAGAAAAAAATGCTTATTTTTGGCCCCTTTTTGGCCCCTAATTCCAAAACTTTTTGGGCAATTATCCCGAAACTCAATTCAAGCTTTCCCTGTGTGATATGGAACCTTGTAGTACAATTTCATAAAGATCCATACACTTACACACAAGTTATTGTCATGAAACTAGAAAAATGCTTGTTTTTTGCCCCTTTTTGGCCCCTAATTCCTAAAATTTGGAGGCAATTACCCCCAAAATCAATCCCAGCATTCCCTTTGTGATATGGAACCTTATGATACAATTTCATAAAGATCCATACACTTACACACAAGTTATTGTCATGTAACTAGAAAAATGCTTGTTTTTTGCCCCTTTTTTGCCCCTAATTCCTAAAATTTGGAGGCAATTACCCCCAAAATCAATCCCAGCATTCCCTTTGTGATATGGAACCTTGTGATACAATTTCAGAGAGATCCATAGGCTTACACACAAGTTATTGTCATGAAACTAGAAAAATGCTTGTTTTTTGCCCCTTTTTGGCCCCTAATTCCTAAAATTTGGAGACAATTACCCCCAAAATCAATCCCAGCATTCCCTTTGTGATATGGAACCTTGTGGTACAATGTCAGAGAGATCCATACACTTACACACAAGTTATGTCTGGAAGTTACAAAAATGCTTATTTTTGGCCCCTAATTCCTTAACTGTTGGTACCATAACCCCCAAAATCAATCCCAACCTTCCTTTTGTGGTATTGAACTTTATGGTAAAATTTCATTGAGATCCATTCACTTAAACTAAAGTTAGAGTGCGAAAACTAATGTGTCTTCGGATGACGACAACGACGACGACGAAGACGCCAACGTCATACCAATATACGACCACAAAAATTTGTTTGCGGTCGTATAAAAATGTAATCACTTCAATAAGTGTTTAAAACATTTTCTTGAAATTTTTCCCACAAGCTTGAATTTTTTATTTGGTAAAAACACAAGGATTCCATTGAAAAAACAACTATATTCATGCAGAAATTATCTTTTGCTTGATGAACCTGTCAGTTTTTACAGTTTATTCAAAATATGCATAAACTGGAATAATTTGTAGATCAGGACATAACCTTGAAGTAGATCATTCTAACTCTAAAGAAAACTAATCAGGTTACTTAAAATTGTTGATCTTTGTCTGATTGTTAGAGTAGTAAATGAATGACTATTTGAATACAGAAAAATTCCCATGGGTACTTTTATAAGCTTTAGCACATTAACTTTCTGCCCAAGCGCACTGGTGAAATTAATATAAAAGAGAAAGGGACAATTGATCTATGTAGGAAAATTACAGAAAAATTTGTCAAAATATTAAAAATTAATGAAATTAGCATAAAAGTTTGAAGATCAAAGGAAACACCGAATTCACTTAAATAGGTGATAACTGAATTTATTAAATCACTGAAATAGGTGATAATGAAATCACTTGTATAAGTAGTACCCCTGACTGTTAGTTACTGTAAAAAATATTGAGTCCTTTCCAATGTTGACCTTTATCTCGCATATTGATTTACAGAACAGCCTTTGACAGTTCCATAGGCAGACTTCATGTTCGCAGTATGCCCATCACTGACAGTGAATGCAAAAGTTTCAAAAGACTGATAATGTCTAAATGACTGCAACACATAGGGACTGCTATTTTTTGTTCATAGTGGGTGGTGCATGCAAATTGCATATTAAACATTTACATCTTCAATGTGTGGAGAAATTTTTCTTTTCAAAAGACTAGGGAAATGGAACAAAGGCTTAAGTCATGCAACTTCTCACAAGAGTCAAAAACACCCAGATCTGTAATTCTTGATGAATATAAGAAACTCTTTCTTCCTTATAAAAGAATATCAATCTTCATAAACCTATTTAAAAGGGTTGAACATACTCTAAATTCAGAAATAATTGCAGTTTTTTATTAATGCAAAAAATGCGAAAGTATCAAGTTCACAATGATAAAAATTTGCATTCATAATCTCAGTATTAACTTTCCTTCAAAAAATTTTTGCAATTGCATTAATTAGATTTCACATTATTGCCAGTGGTCTAGGATTCTCAATAATAAATGCATGCATTAATTTATGAATTTACAGCATCACTTCTTAAAGATTATGTCAAATCATTATCATAATCATAACAGTTACACCGATCTGTGATATCTGCTTTCTTACCTTGACCTTGATCGTCGACTGTAAGCTCTTGGTGTCCTTGACCTTCTCCTGAAAGAAGATAGGTAAAATGCTTATCAATTACATTTTTGTTTACAATATTTCTCTTAAAACTATACCTAAATTTACAGATCTATATATTATAAATTATGATAACAAATGCTGCACATGCATATGCTAGTGGCATGTCAATCATGATGCAGTTCAGTTCAATGAGGTCTATTGCATTTCAGAACACAACTGATATCAAAACCATTTCTATTTTTAATATCAATTTCTATTTTTAATATCAACAATTAATAGTTACAATTCGAAGACCCAATCAAATATCTATGCTGAAGTTGTTAAAATCACAATAACCTGCAACACAAACAATATATTTCTGAGATTTCAGTATCAGACAAGACTAATATATATATTATTTTTGTAAATATTCAAATAAAACTGGATTCTTTGCATTTTAGAAGTTCAAATTATAATGTAGATGAACTACATAACCCAATCAATTTCATGTATAGTGAAACTTTATAAACCAAACCCTGAGTAAACAGGAGACATGTGTAAATTAAACAATGTTTTGGGGACAATCAGACATTTAGACAGTTCAAACTGAACTGTATCTTTAAAAACTATTCAGTATCAAAGGGGTTTGATTAAGGAGATTTTCACTGTAGCATAACTGTTTTCCTTTATCAATATATATTTAGAAAAGTACAAATACAGCTCACTAACCATAAGATCACGCCATAACAATATTTTTACATATAGTATACACAAGTAAAAGTTTTATGAAAAAATAACATGAACAGGAATCTTTTTTGCAACATTATAAAGGCACAAATTGAATAAGGACTACTATATATATTTATTCATATTATTAATTGGAAGCATCCAAAAAAATATGACATTTCTCCAATAAAGAAAGTTGCCTATTCTAATTTTCAAAAGTAATTTGTTTTCTCATGATGTTTTGTCAGATCCAGCCATTCTTTTCTGGATTTCATAAAATTGTGGATTTTTTTTGGGTATGATGTCATTAATTCAAGCCATCATGCTAGAAAAATCAATGAAATGAGAAATACATGTATAACATCATAACTGAATTTAAACTAAATGAAGCAGAAACAACTACATCAAAATGTTTATAGATATAACTTATAACTTAGTAGGTATATATCAAAGGTGGTTTCAATTTACTTATTTGGATTATTGCTACAGGCAAAATTTCAGATTGACAAAATTAAAACCAAACAAAAGAAAAGAAAACATTTTTTTTAATCTAATATCTAATTAATACAATATATTTCAGGCAAAATGTCTTTTCTTAAATTCAAAATTAAATTGATTGACTGAACTTTGCTTAGCATTGTTTATACTTCCATCAATAAATATATTTGCATATGAAGTTTGTGCAATAAATATGAATTATTCATAAAAAATAATAAGACAACAAACTTGTAAGAAGTAAATCATTTCAGTCTAAGAAATAAATGACATGTTAGATATTCTTCATACAACTGATTGTAATAAACAATTCAAAGCACATCAAAATTATTTTTTTAAAAGATCTTGTTTGTATCCATTCATACTGAAATACATATCTAAAGATTTGCTTTCAAATTACTTCTCTGTAGAGAATCAAATCTATAAAGATTTACTATACATTCCTTAATATATTTTGACATAGAAAGCAAATCTTTTCTGACACATGAAAAACTCATGGTCCAGAGGTGTCTACTTAAGTAAAACAATTATTACCTGACTGGGAAGATGATTTGGCCCCTCAGCGGCCCCCTTCAATAGGAAACAAACCAATTATTAGATTATTGGATACTCATTATGCTAGTGTCTGGTTCTAACAGAATATTTAAGAAAAAATTGAAATGCTTAATCTACATATTTTATCCTTTATAAAGGAGAAGATTCACTTTAGATCAAATATGGCCTTGAATTTCAACTTTATCATAAAAAATTTTAATGGCCATAATTTGGTTCTTCAATGGACCTATTTCCAAGCCTTTTTTACTAAGTTAAACAAATCTCTTCCTGAGAAACAATCTGAGCTTCAAAATCAGCTCATTTTGGATGTATTGTCAAAATATGATGGTTTTGTGCACATTTTTTAGGACCTATAAGCTTGTGCTAAAAACTGTTAATAATTATTGAAAATTTGCCCAAAACTGAAATAACAACACAAATAATGTTACTTAAGGGGTCATAACTTCGTCATTTTAATGTAATGTGTCAAATATAAGTTATTTTGTATTAATAGTTATATCACAACTATTTCTATATGAAATTTGCAGTATTTTGGCCTGATTACAAAAACATCAAAATCTTAAGGCCAATCTTATTATGCCTTTGTGAACTTACTCCTTTGTCACTGTGCAAACCAAATAAGCAAACACAAATTGTCCTGTACATTGGCAACTCTATTTAAATCAAATTAGGAACTTTATGTTAAATTGATAGGTGAACGAAATCAAAATTTCTTAAAGTGAACTAAGGTTTCTTAATAGTGAGCCATTAAAGTTCAGCTTTTCCAGCTGAGAAGTTTCATAAAGAAATACTTATGTCTACATGTATTTGAATTCAAAATCATTCCATCTCAGATCAAAGTTTAGAGAATATTGCATGAATACACTGGTTTTTTATTCAATTTCCTGTCGATATAAAATTCCAATCCATGCTGCGCCAAGTAAATTCTTTCTATATCATCTCAAACATGTTTTTATTTTAGTATTATGATTTCTATATGAAATCAAATTTAAAAAAGATAAAAAATCATTTAATAAAATATCCCTAGGAAATTCAGTAGATTTTGCTTATTTCAATTTTCCCTTAAATGAGTGTAAATCTATAAAGGGGATTCAAAATCAAAGTAACATTATTGATCAATCCGTTAGAACCAGAAATATTAATAGAAATTTACTGAACACAAGATTAATTTTCTAGATTTTATTTATATTGTAATCTTTAAAGAATAAATTTTCAAAATTCAAATGGAAACTAAAAGAAGGGGGAAATATGTTTACCTTGTAGGGAAATGGTTTGATCCCTGTGTTGGTCTCTCTTCCCTACACAGCAACAGAAAGAATCATTCAAAATATCATCTATATCCTAACTAATATTCTGATAATGTGTTTTGAAAACATACTAAAATATGTGTTTTTATCAACTCTTATAAACTGAGTATACAATAGTACAAAAACAAATCTGCTGAAATTATGTATGAAGAACTTGGATTCTCATCTAAATATTTTTATGGAGTAAATTTTTTTTTTAAAACACCAAATTTTCTGTATTTGATCATGTCTTACCATTTTACCATGGATATAAAATACATTAGAACTGACTGGATTTTTAACCCTTTCATATCATGTCAACATACTGAAGAAATATTTCAATCATTGAATTTTGTCACACAATAAATTTATATATTAGTAACTGCATTTCAAATATGTAAGATTTCAAAAAATGATTTATAGTTGCAGTTCAAAATAGTAAGGCATGGTCTGTTTAATATATAAGAAATATATAACTATATATATTCTTTAAATAATACAAACTTTGGTGCTCTGCCCTTTGATTTTGACCTTGATCTGTGCTTTGACCTTGACCTCTTTCTTGACCTAAATGTACAAATAAATACAGTATTTTCCTTTAGAACTTAGTAAAACAAGACAGTTCTAAGAATATGGTGGTATGTATCACTGCAGATATACAGATCTCCACTAGAATTCCTGTGATAAAACTGAATAATTTAAGTGTTAGACCTTGAACCATTTAGTAAATTATTCATTTCTATTGAAGAGATACAATTTATACACAATGACATCTTTAATAGAATACTAAATGTTATAAAATTTGTAGAAACTTTTATTCTGCCATAATACAATTTTCTATCTGAATCCCTGCAGAGGCATATTCCTTAAAAATCACAATAAACTGTTCAGGCAAGAAAAATATAGAGTTGGGTTTAAGGTAGATCATAAGTATATACTTTTTGAGATAGAATTTTCTTATACTTTGCCAAAAGGAAGATTTTACTATGACTTTTTCAAAAATATAATAAAAAGTATGGGTCACCGTGCTATTTTCCAAGCTATGAGTCGTTGAAAATTGCCTAAATTTGGTTAGATTGTTCATGAAAAAACACATTTGTGTGCATAAAAAAAATTCTATGAGATAGAATATTGAAATAAATTGTAAGAAGATAGGTTTTATAATATGTTTTAAGAAAATAAAAAGAAAAAATGGTGTCACCGAACTTGTTTTCTTGCTACATGTAAAAATTAAAAATTTCCCTATCAGTCCAGTATATATTTTTTACTAAAAGAGTTATCTCCCCTTAAATGGCTTATTTGAAAGAAATGATTCTAAAAACACAAAATTTGATATTTATTTAAATATTTTGAATAATACAATAAATCACCAAGTTTTCTTTATATAAATAAACAATCTAACCGTTAAATTGCAAATCTGTCTCCAAATTTGCAGATTTGGGCAAATAACTAGAACATTTTTGTACTGAGATTGTACAATCCAAGATGGCGGTATACCATGTATCTACCTTAATGTCCCCATATCTACCCTAACACATTTAATTGACAATTAAGCAAAACAAAGTCCTATTCTTTCCTACAAGGAGACAGGACACAATTAAATACTATGTTGGCCTAACCCAGATATATATATCTTGCCTGTGTACCCTTATCCCAAACTTTAACAATTGTTGACGCCACTGACACAGGAAACATTGTACCCAAGTCTCCCTTCATTTCATTGCAGGTGAATTAAAAACTAATTTTAAATTTAGAAAGCTACTTAATTATAAATTTGGATTCTTTCAAACCCTTATATGTTATAAATCAAGTCACTGAAGCGATCTAAATTCTTTCAATAGATAGCATGTCTATATCTATGTCGGAAATTTAAATGAAACATTGCAATTACACATTCGTTTCATCTGAAAAAAGTTAACATCTTAACTATCAACCAAGAGTTATAATTTGTACCATGGGTCAGTATCATAAAATTTGTTAAGGACAGAAATTATTGTATAGAATTCAAAATCTCTTGATCCTAAGTAATTGTTTAAACTAAACAACATTTACTTTAAAAGTAAATGACTACCTTATCTTTGAATTATACAAATACTGTCTAACATACCTAGACCTTTTCCTACGTGAACGAGACCCTGAACGTTTTCTGGACCTTGACCTTTTTCTTGATCTAGATCTTTTTCTAGACCTTGATCGTCTGGAGGATCTTCTTCGAGATCTTGAGCGTTTTCTTGACCTTGATCTGGAACCTCTTCGTGACCTAGATCTTCGTCTGGATCTAGATCTGCTACGGGATCTATCATCTGTAACATAAATTTTCATCAAATCCAGTATTATTACCATTAATTCAGTGGATGTCTATAACCTAACCCGATCTCACAGCATATTACATTATTAAATTTACAACATTGTTTCTTTAAATCCAAAGTTATACATTGAAATAATCTTACCATTACAAGGCTTCTGACTATAAGTGAAGGTTTCAAATGGTTTTTTTCCCTATGAACTATTGGTTCAAAAGAGCTAAAATCACACAGATGGTATCTCTGCTAAATGCAAAGAAAAGCCATCTGAAATGCACTAAATTCTATTGAGCTTCATTAACTCAGAATACACTGGGATGATTTTACAACAAAAGGAAAATAAACATGTAAATTTTAAATTGTGATTCTCTTCTTTTCAATTTTGGCATACAGAATAACACTGCATACATTTCTTAACTGGCAGTATTTACTTACATGGATCATCTACTGCAGCTGATATCAGGGACTGGGCTTCTTTGACTTTCTTCATTGCTTCTTCTATGTCCCTTTGTTGAGCTTCTTGAGACTTTGTTAAGGGTTTGATGATACATGTATTAGAATGTGTTACACTGGAAATCAAAGGGAAATATAAACTCTGTTTAATACATTTTTTACTGTCTTTCATTCTATTAAATATAAAATAGTCATGCTACTTCATCTACATACTTTGATTTCTCTTCTGCTATCTTAATGATATAACAATCTAGAGATATAGACTCAGATGATTTTGTTCATCTAAAATAAACACAGATATGGCTGTATTGGAAGCACATGACTATGTAGGATAAAGATATCTCAATGGAAAAATTCAGTTTACCAAAATCTGAAATCTGCTAAAATACAGAAGGGAATCAAATCTGAGGAAATATGTTTTAAATGATTGTGAATTGTCCTGTGTATTTGAACATTTGAAATATGAGGTGATAATGTTATCTGTAGTATGAGAGTGGCAACAATTTCTATTGCTTTCTTTAAAAAAAAATGTTTGTCCTAATACTTCTTTTCAAATGTATGTTTGCCAATCTTAAATCCACAAGCTACTAAATATCATTTGCATACAAACTGATACAAAGGTCTAAAACTAACATGAATTCAAGCTGAATATTAAATAGAAAATTGTGAGAATAAGTCTAGATGAGCTGCAACGGTACCTCATAGTAAATGAAAGAAGTAGGTGAAATGCAAAGATAACTCAGTCCTCACAATATAATAGACATAATAAGGCAGCAATAATACCCCATAGTTTGAGAGAAGAAGGTAAGCTGCAATGATACCTCTTAGAATTAAAGAAGAAGGTGAGTTGCAATGATACATTTTAGTACGAGTATTAAGTGGGTTATAATTACATCATAGTAGGAGGAAAATAGTTGAGGTTAAACTATACCTCATAGCAAGAAAGAAATACTCACGTGATAGGTTTACTCTGGAACATTACACCATTGTAAGTAAGAGCAGTGGCCACAGATCTTTGATCAGTAAATTCTACATAACCAGATACAATAGAACTACTAGGGTCTCCTGCCATCCGCACATACTTCACTTCTCCTACTTGGGAAAAAAAATTCAGCAGCTGATCTGTAGAAGTCTACAATATAAAATTATATCTTGAACTATAAATTACTGTTACTACTTTTCTTGATTTATAAATTTTATCACTTGTTTGCAATTTATACATTTTTTTCTGTATTCCATTTTTCAAAATTTCATTTCTTTTAGTTATACTGATTTTATAAAAGTAATACAACTAAATGTTTATATTGATGTGATTGAAATGAAAACATCCCTCTTTTATTCTCAAACTCAAAAATAGAATTACATCAGCATTTGGAACTCATAGGATATTAAAACTAGAGAACTTATATTCTCTTCCTATGCCCTTAGGCAGGAAATTTTATTTTAAATAACTACAGTCCTCACATCAGTTTTTCTTTTCTTTGACAAGGCAGTATTGAAGAACAAAATATATCTCCAATGTACAGTATATGTACTGATTATCAGGTTGTCTGCACATACACATTGTAAAATATCAACCTTGAGTCACAATATGAAGCTTTTTGTCGAGTGAGCGCAGCATACAAATTCAAAAAGCTTCATATTGTGTCCAGCAGCTGATATTTTACAATATAAATATGATGAAAATCTGATAAATCAATTTATCGGATTGTATTTGTGTATTTTGCATGATAGAAACAAGTGTTTTTCTTTATTTCACCAGCAATCCAAAAAAGATGACTTGATAAGTTCAGATCAAACTTATCAACATTGGTTCATTCATTAAGATGTCTGTGATATGTCCGGGTCAAAGTTATTTAGGCAGGGTTAACATATTTGACGTCACAAAGCTGTGATATGCAATTTTATGAAGAGCAGAGTGATACAGACAGTGGGAACACTGATAATTCCTAATATGGAGCTTGGAACATAAAATCAATTCAAACTATCAACTTACTGTAGGATCCATATTAGATACATAAACTGTTCTTCTTATTTCTTCTATCTTTGATCCATCTGTTGTCCCAGGTAAAGCAGGATATTGTGGCAGACCTAAGGCTGTCAGACGTGGGTCATGTGTTGTAATTACTTGGGCTGAACCAACACCACTCATCTAAATAAATATAGAAGTAAGTCAATTTTATTTAGTAAGTAAATGTTATTTAAAGTCGGTATATATGTACACAAATAACATAGAAAACATGAGGTCTGATGCATTAATTTTGTTTGCACTTGTCCTAAGTCAGGAACCTGATGTTCTGTGGTTGTCGTTTGTTGATGTGGTTCATAAGTGTTTCTCGTTTCTCGTTTTTTATATAGATTAGACCGTTGGTTTTCCTGTTTGAATGGTTTTACACTAGTCATTTTTGGGGCCCTTTATAGCTTGCTGTTCAGTGTGAGCCTAGGCTCCGTGTTGAAGGCCATACTTTGACCTATAATGGTTTACTTTTACAAATTGTGACTTGGATGGAGAGTTGTCTTATTGGCACTCATACCACATCTGCTTTTAATTAAAAGATTAAATTGTTTTCAATTCAGTGTTCTTGCCATTGTAACATGTTCTGGTAACCATGTCACAATTATTTCACTTGTTTTATTGTTAAATTATTACATGGCAATTTAGCTTGTCCATCTAACAATTTTATTACAAAGCAGTCACACATGATGTTGTTTGTCAATATAACTCTCCTATCCATATTGAAGAACATTAAAATTGGTTCCTGATACATTTATTTTGTTGGTAATCAGGTATAACTAGCTTACAAGTCTCACAGCAAAGTATTCAAATTTTTAAACCTCAAAAGGTTATTTCATAATAATTGAAAATATTTTTAATTATGTTAGATTTTCATTAAAATTAGCAATTTCTATGTGCTTTACCCTAATACACTTATACAAATGGTGTTTATGTTTCAATATAAAATCGAAAAATGAGAAATTTCTTACGTAATCAACTATTCTTCCACAGAAAATTTACCTGACTTATAACATTACTAGGCCATGTAGGTTGGCCAGGCATCAATCCAGCCATGGCTGAAGGGGCTAGCTGCAATGCTGTCTGTTCATCTGGAATTTTACCTGAAGAGGAAATAATATTACATAAGTTAGAGAACGGAAATGAAAAATTAAGCAATTTTTCCATTTGTAAAGGGACATAACTCTAGAAAGGTAAATGTGACGCCACCCAAACTTGATCTGTGTTTTTTGGTAAAAACATTCAGGGGTCGACAATAACGCTTGTCCGATACCAGAGGAAAAAAAGGTCAGACAAGTAAAAGCTATATCAAGCTTGTCCGACAGGACAAGTTAAAATATTATGCAGAAAATAAATTTAATCCAACTTTGATGAACAAAGTAATTATAAACAAAAAACAAGAAAAGAAGATAAACACAAGTATTAATTTGACATGTTTACTTGCAATCAATAATTTAAAACTGGTTCTTTGTCAGGTACTTTTTAACAGGTAAAAGGCATACTATTCTTGGAAACCAGTCTTACTGATCCGAATCAGCGATGCTCGTCACCAGCTCGGAAAGATTAAGCTCCAAGTTTAATAGACAGTTTGGCACCGTAGGAGACATATTTAATAGACATGATTAATAGACAGTTTGGCAACGCAGGAGACAGGAGACATTTCGGTACCAAGACAAATCAGTACCTCGTTTTCCTACCTTATTCTGTTGCTTTATAATAAATACCATACCCTAATTTTTTTAACAAAAATATTTTTTAAATACAAATGAAGAAATTATTTACCATAAAATTCCCAAATCATATTTGATCATATATAGAAGAAAAAACAATACTTGCAATACGGTGACCTATAGTTATTAATTTCTGTGTCATTTGGTCTCTTGCAGAGAGTCCTCTCATTGGCCTTCATACCTCATCTTCTTTTTTTTAATTGATTGAATTTGAATAAACTATTTTCAACTTAAAAAACCAGGATACAAATCCAATGAGTGGAAATTGACAGGCCTATCAGACGGTGCCTCATGTGTAGAGTCTGATGAGACTTTGACATTGATGAAAACTAGAACCTAAGTCCTGTGACATGACTAGATTCAGTTGTTCTCGACTCATATTTTTAAAAGGTATTTCAAAAGATATAAATCAAATTCTGATCTATTGTTTTAATTCATTTTATTCCTTGGATCAACTTAAAATGCAAAAAAGGTTATTATTAAGATTTTTGTTGGACAAGTTACAATTTCATTCGGACAAGTAAGTTTTGGTATGTACTTGTCCTACCTACTGGACAAGTTGGAAAAAAAGTTATTGTAGAGGCCTGTCACTTTTGTATAAGTTTCATAACATTTGGTTGAGGCAAACTAAATTTAGAGAATGGAAACCAATTTCGGGACATACAGACGTACGGTATACAGACTGACAAGGGTAAAACTTAATGCCCCCTCCGCTACGACAGGGGCATAAAAAAGTAGTTCATGTGTGAGGGTCTGGATGGTGGTCTTTCAAATGGCTTCAATTCTATATATTTTTTTAAAATTTTAAGCCATTCTTCTCTATTCTTAATATAAATTTTCCCCATTATTCTCTGTTCTTTATTCTCTTTTCTTTTTATTAACCTATTATTCTCTATTTCAGTCTATTTTTGTTAACCCCGACCAGACCCTCATATGTCTGTCCTAAGTCCAGAACCTCATCAGTGGTTGTCTTATGTTAATATATCTTTTTATATTTTTTTTTATTTCGTGAATTTAACACTGATTGCAGATCTTTAATACTTGGTTAATTTATTCACACCTTTTTGGACTCATTTAGAGCTTGTAGACTGGGGTCTTTTGTTGGAAACTATTTTGACCTCTAGATATTGTTTGGTTTTTGTTATTATTATCATTTATTCATAATAATTATTCATAAAGAGAAATGGTTGGCAAGTTTGTATCCCATTGACAGTAACCCAACATTTCGTTTTATCCTATACCTAAATTAAATTATGTCTATAATGAAGTTTTCTACCATTTTTTGTATATCTAAACACAAAGAATTCATGTTTTGTAATCTATAAACTTACCATCCATGACAGGCACAATTATCATGGCTTTATCAATAAAGACTGTGTTGTTAAGATGTAATGCAACACCTGTGCTCTGAGAATCCTCAAACTTGACATAAACAATCTTTGTAACAGGTGCTGAGACTGCTCCCTCGGGAGAGCTGAAATACAAAGTCAATGAATTATTATAAAATAAAGTTTTTATGATCATAAACGTAAACAAAAGGCTCACCTGAGCCTAGTCTTTATGCTAAGCCTACAGGCCCAACATCCAAGGCTTGTTAAATAATTATCTGGCATGTAAGACTTCATACTTCAGGCCATTTGAATCTATACAAAATTATCCAAAATTTAAGCGTTGGGCCTGTAGCTATAAAACTTTATCACCAAAACTCTGGCTGTATCACCATCTGTTGAAAAGATGCAAGTCTTTAATTGCACATACTAGATGTTTACCTTGATGATCATTTTTACAATTTAGTCACCAGCTGGGTCAGCAGAACGATAAACTAAATCAGCCCAGCCTAAAATCTGCATCGCCTTGGGCTACCATTAAGTTTAGTCTCTGTTTTGGCCTAAACAAATTACAAATGTAATATTGTTCATATCACACAACTTTTTTTAAAGTCTTGCAGTCAGTATAACAAATTGAATTTGGATGATTTATGAAGAAATTTAAGCACGTTGGCCTCCAATATGGAGAAAGGGAAATAAATCTTGCTTAAATTGTGTCAATCTGAAACTTTTTATAATTTACCAGAAGATTATTACCAAATAAATTAGGGCTTTGGAATATCCATCATATTCAAACCAGTGCTGACAAGTCTCACACAATGTGTGTGAAACTCACTCATTTTCATGCTTATTTGGGGGCATTTTCCTTTGATCTGTTGTTCTTGCTCTTTGACCTTTAAAATTTTTGTCAAATCTCATGCATTTGCTTCATGAAAACTTGACAATGACAGCCCTGAGGGGGTGGACAGCTTTTGAGTGAGGTGGGGGCGGGAGGTGGGAGGGCGGGAGGTGGGAGACAAAAATAAGTGGGAGAGAAAAAAAGATTCTAAAAGTGGGAGGTGGGAGATAGGGGCAGGAGAATTATAGTTATCTTGTACCATTGTAAACTCGTACCAATGTCAACTCGTAACACTAAAAAAAAATTCGTACCAATGCAAACTCGTACTACTGCTAACTCGTACCACAGTAAATTCATACCATTGTCAACTCGTACCAACTTATTTAAATGCATCCAAATTATCCAAAATTTAAGCGTTGGGCCTGTAGCTATAAAACTTTATCACCAAAACTCTGGCTGTATCACCATCTGTTACAAGCCAACAGAATCTAACTAAAAATTTTCAAAAATTGAGCTACGGGCCTGTAGATTTAGCAGTTCATCGTGAAGACTGATTTTAGCAGAATATGACCATGCTAATATGATTAAACAAGTTGATTAGTTCATAATCAATAAATAATCACACAATCAAAGGAATTTTATATAATTATTAGCATGGTAATTAAGAAATTACATTCGTATTTTTGTCTAAGTTTTCATTAAAATCTGGTATAAAATTCAAAGATATTTTAATTTTTTGTATAAAGCTTAAAAAAAAATAATCTTAAAACATTCGTATTTTTGTCTAAGTTTTCATTAAAATCTACATGTAGTATAAAATTCAAGTAATTCAACTTTTTTTATTTAGTTTACCAAAAAAAAAAATCATAAAACATTCGTATTTTTGAATGGTACGAGTTTGCAGTGGTATGAGTTCTGATTGGTACGACTTCCCAGTGGTACGAGTTTACGTTGGTACGAGTTAACTTTTTTGGTACGAGTTTACGTGGTACGAGTTTACAATGGTACGAGTTAACTTGCTTCCGGGGCAGGAGGTGGGAGAAGGGTACTCCCTGTCCTACCCCTCAGCCCTGTCAAACCCATTTTGCCCAAAAGTTTTCCCCCTTAGAACATAAATTAATTTTGCTTACACTGCTTGATGACAGTGATAAATGTAAATATATATTTATTCTTACTCAATGGTGGGGTACATTTTAAGATCGTCAATTCGTCCGATGTATGCAAACAATGTCTTCATTTGATCTTTAGATGCGTTCTGGGCAATGTTAGCGACCTGGATAACCTTTGTGGTTATCCGGTCGTCTTTCCCCGCCATCTTCACAGTTTTTTCAGCAGAATAAACCAGGTATATATCTGTAGAACGTTTCCAAAATTTATAAAAATGGCCGTCTAATCTGGCCTAGTATGTTTAATTATAATTTTGTATTGCGAGCTACGAAAAACAGTAACGGGAAACAGATCTTCTTTCAATGTCGTATTTGGTATTTTGACGCGTTTATGCGTTATCTGGTTTTTATATATCTGTTATAGAAATTAAAATTATGAGTGAACAAAATCCTTAAACACTGACACAAATTCGTCATTTTTGAAGTTTTATGATGGAAGGTAGTTTTAACGTTTCATTTTACGGCATTTGTAATAAATTGCTTCCGGCGACGTTGAAAGGCAAGGAACAGCGAACATTTTTCAATCTTTGCATTTCACACGAACAGGAAAAGGGTAATGTCAATTTCTTAGCTGTTTTTTTGGAAGTATTTTTTGTTGTAATTGTTTAAAATTTTCGTTGATTGGCGTCCATCTGCAAGAAAACATAAAAAAATGGTTTGTCCTAACATAGTGGAAATAAAACTGAAGCTGATCAAAATTTCTGTACTCGTGTAAGCTTCAATTTCAGTAAACTACTAGTTTGTTCAGTAAAAGATCACAATAGTTTGATTGTAAGTAAATTTGAACATCAATGAATTCATTGGAACTGAAGTTGAAAATGAAACTCAAATCTGCAACACTGTCACTGAGGGTCTGAGTGACGGTATCGGGTCTGTTCACTCCCAAAACATTTTCACACCCTACACGTTCGCACCCCACACATTAACCCCCCTGGGTTCATTTGTACCCTATTTGTATACACCTTATCACTATTTGTCCGCCGTTACTGGAATTCAAGGTTCCCGTAAAAATTTTTACATTAAAAAATGTCTGATGCCACAAAGGAAAAGTGATTGTTATAAGATATATATTGTTATATAATGTCAATAGTTCAAGTGTCGAATGTCAATAGTTCAAGTGTCGCTGATTCCCAAATAGCGATTAGGTCTTTTCAAATATTAACATGTAATTATTAATTAATTGGTATCTGCAAAGCTAATTTGGTATTATTGTTATGTGTTTGAAAGTCATGCATTCATGATTGATGTTATAACTAGCTTTGTTGTCAAGTAAAATACAAGTAGTTACCTCATGGTAATGCACCCACTAAACATATGCTTTGTGGCCAGGTTTTATACAACATAAAAGTATTCTGTATTAGTTACGCCTAAAAGATGAATGAATAATTACGGAGTAATAAGATGTATTTCTTTTAAAATATAGCCTTTTGGTATCTTCAGCCTTTCTTTTACAAGTCTTAGAGATGAATGACTTGGCCTTTGATCATCATGAATGTCACTTTTTGAAAAACAAAGGGGGGGGGGGGGGGGGGCAAACATGATTTTGAGCAAACAGACCAGTATTAAGGGCTTTCCAGACGAATAAGCCATGAACCAGTTCTATCATGAATCCAGGTAAGTTCGCCTAAGTACCTGTTGACCCTGGGTCCATTCACCTTGTTTTTATACAGCCGCTAAAAAATTTTGCTGTCGTATATTGGTATGACGTTGGCGTCGTCGTCCGAAGACACATTGGTTTTCGCACTCTAACTTTAGTTTAAGTGAATGGATCTCTATGAAATTTAATCATAAGGTTCAATACCACAAAAGGAAGGTTGGGATTGATTTTGGGGGTTATGGTACGTACCAACAGTTAAGGAATTAGGGGTCAAAAATAAGCATTTGTCTAGTTTCCAGAGAATAATTTGTGTTCAAGCGTATGGATCTCTCTGAAATTTTACTGCAAGGTACTATACCACAAAGGGAAGGCTGGGATTGATTTTGGGGGTAATTGCCTCAAAAGCTTAGGAATTAGGGGCCAAAAAGGTGCAAAAAACAAGCATTTTTCTAGTTTCGTGACAATAACTTGTGTGTAAGTGTATGGATCTTTCTGAAATTGTACTACAAGGTTCCATATCTTAAAGGGAAAGCTGGAATTGAGTTTTGGGGTAATTGGCTTAAAGGTTTAGGAATTTGAGGCCAAAAAGGGGCCAAAAAACAAAGCATTTTTCTAGTTTCTAGACAATAACTTGTGTTCAAGTGTATGGATCTCTCTGAAATTGTACTGCAAGGTACCATACCACAAAGGGAAGGCTGGGATTGAGTTTGGGGATGATGAATCATAAGGGGTTCAAAAAATTGGGGGTGGGGGGGATTGTTTTTTCCCTTTTTTTTCTTTAAAATTTTCCATTTTAAATTTGTTATTTCTGATTTATATATAAAAGCAAATAATAATGATATGGTTTGAATAGGTATATCAAAATTATTTAAGTTCTTAGACCACATTCATTCTGTGTCAGAAACCTATGCTGTGTCAAATATTTAATCACAATCCAAATTCAGGTGCTGTTTCAAGCTTGAATGTTGTGTCCATACTTGCCCCAGCTGTTCAGGGTTCGACCTCTGTGGTCGTATCAAGCTGTGCCCAGCGGAGCATTTTATTTATTCTATTTTGCTGAATATTTATGTTGTAAAGCTGCTACCAGAAAATTATTTTATTGATTTGCACTGAAGAGTACAGGAATACAAGACATTTAATATATTAAAACAATTGAATTGAAATATTCTATAAAAAAACAAAATACTACAAAGACAAAATCACACAGCCATCCACTCTACATATCTACACCATGATTTACTAAAAACAAATTTGAGATCAAAGAAGTAAAGCTACGGACCCAGGGCAAACATGTTATTAGGGCGAACGGTCCATAAAATATTTGTTCTTAATATATACTTTACTCTAAATGTTTTGAATAAATAAATGTTGAGCATTGGTATTGTATACTGAATACACATTATTGCTGTTTAGTCCAATCTGGAAAAACAGTCAGACAACTTCCTGACTGGGTCAAGTGTTGCAAAAACAAAGGTCATCTATAATGAGCTGGGGGAGGAAAATGTTTAGAAAGTGAACATTGTGAAATTTTGATAGATTATGATCCAATTTTTTTGAAACACTAATTAAAGTAATAAAATGTGTTGTTTGTAGTGTTTATGATTGTTTAAATATGTCCCTTTGAATAATTTTATGCACAAAGTCAATACATCGTTTAAACAGGGCCCCAGATAGCTTCAACTGGTTTGTGACATCATGAAAAAGATGTGTTATTTAAGAACTTATCCAGATTGGAAGAAATAGCTATAAGGTGTATAGGGAGAAATATCAAAATTTTACAAGTCATATGAAACGAGTATCTTGTAATTATAATGTTATTGAAATATTGAACCAATGCATCCATATAATGTATTAGTTTGTGATTAGGTCAGTTTTGTGGGGAACCACTAGTGGAAGGTCAATGATATTTGGTATGCTGTGTATTAGAATTGGCACATCTCATTCCCATAGAGATTATTTGGCCCTGCCCCCTCAGTCTTGGTCTATTGACTTTGAAACTTTTGCATAGTTTACATGTATTATTATGTGATTAGGTCAGTTTATGGGAAACCACTAGTGGTAGGTCAATGATATTTGGTATGCATTTGTAGTAGCATTGACACATCCCATTACCACAGAGATTATTTGACCCTGCCCCCTCAGTTGTGGTCTATTGACTTTGAAACTTTTGCATAGTTTACATGTATTAGTTTGTGATTAGGTTAGTTTATGGGGAACCACTAATGGTAGATCAATGATAGTAGATCAATGATATTTGGTATGCATATACATGTATGTATTAGCATCGGCACATCTCATTTCCATGGAGATTGTTTGGACCTGTATTTTCAGTCATGGTTCATTCTTCATTGACTTTGAATATTTTGCATCACTTGTTGAAGTATTGCTATTTTAAATTCAACATTTGCATTTTACTATCAAAATAACAAAAAGGCGAGACATATCTCTGTGTTAACAGTTTATTAAGTCTCCCAAACGAAGTTTGGGAAGACTTATTGTTTTTGCTCAGTTCTTATTATTATTATTATTATTCTTCTTCTTCTTCTTCTTCTTCTTCTTCTTCCGCCGCTTTTAAATTTGAACTTGTCCGCACCCGTTCTCAAAAACCGCTTGTCAGATTAACTTAGGGTTTCACAATATGTTAGATTAACATGTCTAGTGGTGCAATCAGGGTTTTGTTTGTGCAATGGGGTTTATAAAAGGGTACTTTGAGGGGCATAAAGAAAAGAGGGTTTTACTATAGAACCCTATGGGATTTTATTTTTAAAAATTTTCAAATGAGTATAAATTGAAAACCGTTTGTGATAGACACAATCTTTTTAATTGAAAATGTTCTAAATGATAAAGCCCATTTAATGAAATACAGGGTTAGTCCAAGGGGTCACCCCCACCCCCTGCCATTTAAAAAAGTTCTAATACCTTGTAAGTGGTCAAGATTCCCACCCCTAAACCATATATATTTTGGTTTGTCATGCTAAGATGGTTTGAATGATATACAGGGTTAGTCCCCAGGGGTCATCCCAACCCCCTGCCATTTGAGAAAGTTCTAATATCTTGTAAATGGTCCAGATCCCCACCCCTAAACCATATATATTCTGGTTTGTCATGATAAATCACATCAAATGTAATACAGGGTTAGTCCCCAGGGGTCACCCCCACCCCATGCCATTTAAGAAAGTTCTAATATCTTGTAAGTGGTCAAGATCCCCACCCCTAAACCATATATATTCTGGTTTGTCATGCTAAGATGTTTTGAATGATATACAGGGTTAGTCCCCAGGGGTCATCCTGACCCCCTGCCATTTGAGAAAGTTCTAATATCTTGTAAATATTCGAGATCCCCACCCTTAAACCATATATATTCTGGTTTGTCATGATAAAGCACATCAAATGTAATACAGGGTTAGTCCCCAGGGGTCATCCCGACCCCCTGCCATTTGAGAAAGTTCTAATATCTTGTAAATAGTCAAGATCCCCACCCCTAACCCATATATATTCTGGTTTGTCATGATAAATCACATCAAATGTAATACAGGGTTAGTTCCCAGGGGTCACCCCCACCCCCTGCCATTTAAGAAAGTTCTAATATCTTGTAAGTGGTCAAGATCCCCACCCCTATACCATATATATTCTGGTTTGTCATGCTAAGATGGTTTGAATGATATACAGGGTTAGTCCCCAGGGGTCATCCCGACCCCCTGCCATTTGAGAAAGTTCTAATATCTTGTAAATGGTCGAGATCCCCACCCCTAAACCATATATATTCTGGTTTGTCATGATAGAGCACATCAAATGTAATACAGGGTTAGTCCCCAGGGGTCACCCCCACCCCATGTCATTTAAGATGGTTCTAATATCTTGTAAGTGGTCAAGATCCCCATCCCTAAACCATATATATTCTGGTGTGTCATGCTAAGATGGTTTGAATGATATACAGGGTTAGTCCCCAGGGGTCA